TCCAGCAGACATGGAGCAAAGCATTTGCTAAATGACCCCCAGTTTAGTCTATCTTAGCAACAGAGGCCATCATAGTCTCTGCTATTTTTCTGTGACTTGTGTCAGGAAAGTATTTTAAGAACTTACTGAATCCATTTTTATAGGAATAAGTCATACTTTGTAACTGTCCTTAATTTATGAGTGAAAAAACTACATTTTTACTGGGATTTTGACTAGTATTTTTGGCTATTTGTTATTTCTTCCTTTAGCAATAGTTACTTCAGAGAAACTGAACCATAGCTGGAAAGATGACATTTCTTGCAGCTGATCTTATGGATAGACCGGCAGACCACCGGCATGTCCTGATCTATGCTACAGATACAGAAGTAGGCAGATCAACTCTGACATTACCGTGTCAGTGTGTCCCGCGTGGGTTTCCAGAGGGAGCACCTTCCTGCTAGTTTATGTGTAGCTAGAAATGTTTCGGCTCTAGACAGCAGTATCTGAGACCTGACCAGGCAAACAGGGAGGACAGGACTTGAGGGAGTAGAACCTACAGTCTGAAGAGTTCTGTGGGATTGTGAACCAATAAGAGGGGAGGAAGACTCCCAGATACTTCTGAGTGGGGGCTGGGACTATCGCTCAGTGCCACAGAGCTCGCCTAGCATGTGTAAGTCTCTAAGTTAAACTTCAAGCATCTAAAAGTAGAAAATTTAGTGTCTGCCATGAACAAGGAGGCTAGATATTAAAGATCTGATTGATTTTAATTGGCCAAGTTACAGCAAACCTGGACTCCTTAAGAATGGAGACAGTCACTTTTTTTGCCATCTTGCTGGTCCAGTTTGAATGGCATACTTTTAGCAATTGGGGCAAGGGCAATTCTTTCCCCAAATGGCTAGCTTTTGCCACAAAGAAAGCAAACTCAGCCGGGCGGTGATGGCGCACGCCTTTAATCCCAGCACTTGGGAGGCAGAGGCAGGCGGATCTCTGTGAGTTCGAGACCAGCCTGGTCTGCAAGAGCTAGTTCCAGGACAGGCTCTAAAACTACAGAGAAACCCTGTCCCTGAAAAAGAGGAAGAAAGAAAGAAAGAAAGAAAGAAAGAAAGACCAAACTCTATACAAAGGTTCTTCAATGCCCATCATCTTCACTGAAACAAATTGGTTCTGCCAGAAGCAGACATATTTCACTGTCAAGAAAAGTCTTATGTCATTAAAAACCTTTTTTGTTTTTGAGACAGGGTTTCTTTGTATAACAGGTCTGTCTTGAAACTACTTCTTGTAGACCAGGCTGGCCTTGGTCATTAAAACATTTTAAATGCCATAGGTCTTTGAAGTGTATGAAGACTATCTATCTATCTATCTATCTATCTATCTATCTATCTATCTGTTTAGCCTTGAAAACATTCCTAATATGACTACAACTTTGATTATTATAGATGACTACTAACCTGTATTTCTTAATTATACATTATATTTTTAAATGAGCTTTATGAGTACAATACCCTAAACAAGAGTAGAAAATACATAAGTATAAAAAATAACTTTAAATTTATATCAATAAAAAATCCATACCAATGTAAAATATTTTTGAGATTAAGAGGTTTTTTGGATTAAAGAAGGTTCAGTAATCTATGCTTTTTCCATCATTCCTATATCACATCCCCTTTTTTCCTTTAGAAAGTGATCTTTGAATTTAACTCTTCTGTTTAGTCTTTTTTTTTTCTTTTTACTAAGACTGATAACAATTTGTAACCAACCCCCCTTAAATGATAGCAAACATCAATAATCCATCTTTTGGGAATGTGGGTGTCATTCTCCAGACTGCTTCCTGTTGTTTGTGGGCACTGGCATCTTGGGAACCCCGAGAAAATTCAGAATAATTGTTAAGTCTTGACTGGAGTCGCTTGTTAGGCTGAACCATCTCAGCCAGCATCCTTGAAGCTGTTCTGGATGCAGAACTCTGAGAAACTGCAACAGAGGCACTCTGAAACGCTGGATCACCTGGGTCATTCATTTTCATTGGTGTGTGGTCCCTTTGTTCTGAAAATACATAAACTTAAAAAAAAAGATTTATTTAATTATTATGTATATTACGTTCTGCCTGCATATATGCCTGCAGGCCAGAAGAAGGCACCAAATCTCAGTACTAATGGTTGTGAGCTATCATGTGGTTGCTGGGAATTGAACTTAGGACCTCTGGAAGAGAAGTCGGTCCTCTTAACTGCTAAGCCATCTCTCCAGTCCCATAAACTTTTAAAGAAAACATACATTTCTGTATTAGTACAAGTATAGACTGTGTTGTACACAAGTTAGCCAAAGATGACTTGTTTTCTGTTTTAGCAGGTTAAATATATGTTATGTGTTTTGTTGTTTTTTTAGGGTTATTTCTTTATACCTTTTCAGGAGGTCTTCCTTAATCAGACCTGATCATCTTTAACCTGGAATGAAGCCACAGCCTCTAATTTCCTATGGAAATAAAAGCACAACCTCTCTCCCAATGCAACACACTTTTTGACTTCCATTTTGAAATCAAGATATTTTAAAAATATATAGGTTGGTCTAACCTAGCAGTTTCCATAATCCAATGTTTCTTAGCGGTTATCACTCATTCATTAGCACTCAAAAAATTGAAAGACAATACAATAACATTCAGGATCCAGATCCTTTGTGTACTTCCCAACTTTATCTGGCTTCACTTTTATATTACTTTACTCCATTTTAAGGGCTTTATTTTATTATTTCAAATATATATATATATATTATTTTCTATGACTGTATATTCGTTTTCTTTTCTATCCCAAGCCTTTCTGCATTTTTTAACACACTGTAACCTGTTTAGGTTTTTTTCTGTCTAGATCTGTCTTTACTGAGCAGCTGTAACCTTTTCACTCTGAATAAGCAAAACCCCCAACCCACCATGCAGTACACTGGCAGAGCTCAAGCTGGCACCTCAACCCATAGGCAGCAGACAGGAGACACCTGTCTGTACCATAGCCCATGTGAGACTGTAGGAACCCACCATGTGGCTTAGCTAATGGCATGCTGGCAGCCGAGAGGAGATGTGCCTCTGTACTGTGGCTGGCATCAGAGACATGAGACTAGGGAGGCAATGTTTGGCATGGTTTTTGTATGTTTAGAACCTTTTTAAAACTTTCTCAGGTCTTATGTGGATGTAGGTGTTGGACATTTGAGTGCCATTTGTAGGATGAGTTTTTTGTCAGAACCAAAATCAGCTCTGTTCTACCAGCCACTTCCCAAATAACCATTCAGAGACTTATAAATGCTCAGCCAATAGCTCAGGCTTATTACTAATTAGCTCTTACAACCTAAATTAACCTATTTCTATCTATGGGCTGCTATGAGGCTCATGGCTTTTACCTCTCCTCATGTCCTGCTTCCTTTCTGTCTGTCTGGAGACTCATTCCACTCTGCCCTCCTTCCCAGCATTCTCTCTGCCCCAAAAATCCTACCTAGCATTGACCAATCAACTTTTTAGTAACAGTGAAAGAAATAAATATTTACAGTGTACAAAGATTGTTCCATAGCACCCGAATCCTAAAAAATATTTAACCTGGTCAAGTGTACCAATTTAGAAATCTTACCATATTTTATTTTTTAAAATGTTTTCAGATGTTTGCTTACACGTATATCTGTGCACCACATTCATGTCTGGCACCCGTGGAGGCAGGCCAGATCATCTCCTGGGATTGGGGTTAGAGATGTTTGTGAGCCACCATGTGGGTTCTGGGAATCAGACCCACCTAGGTTCTTTGAGAGAATAACAAATCTAGTGATGTTTTGTTTGAATCTAACAAATAAAGTTTGCCTGAAGATCAGAATTCTGAGCTAAGTCACTAGTTAGCCACAGAAGCCAGACAGTGGTGACACACACCTTTAATTCCAGCTTTTGGGAGAGAGAGGCAGACAGATCTCTGTTAGTTCAAGGCCACCCTGGACTACATGAGATTGCTTCTGTCTTAAAGAGGAAAAGAGCTCATACAAAGGTGATCCCAGCAATTGGGATGACATGCCTTTAATCCCAGCACTAGGGAAGTGAAGACAGGAGTGATATGGCTGGGAGGAGAGAGGAATATAAAGTGGGAGGAGACAGGAGATCATTGTAGTCTCAGGGTTCGGTCTGAGGATTCGTGGAGACAGGATCGCCCCTTCAGTCTGAGCACTGGTAGAGGTAAGAACTCTAGTGACTGCTCTGCTTCTCTGATCCTTCAACTTTCACCCCGATAGCTGACTTTGAGTTTTTATTTTTAAACCAATTAGAATTCGCTCCAGCCCCAACCTTACTGTATTTCTAGTGACTCCTCACCCTCTTAACCTTCCCTCCTACCACGCCTGACATAACAATGCTTCCTTTGTTTCTACCTTCAAGTACCTTGTCCTTCTTTAGTACACTTCCTGTCCTGCTCAGTGCTTGCACATGACTGGAGAAGCACGTATGATTGGCCGGCTAGGCTCACGATAGATTCTTGGTCCTTCCCTGGAGGGTTTAGTGGTGTCTGGAAAGCTCAGTCTGAACCCTTGTCTTCACTCAGACATGCCGAGTTCTAGCCTTCATGAGTCTTTTAAGTTAAGTAGAGGAGGCTCAATGGCTACAGCAAATGGGCCCCAAAGTCCTAAGGCTCCAATTCAACCCAAATCCACACATCATTCACACATTTGGGTATTCTGGATCAAGAGGTGGAAGCCCTTCTTCATCCAGGCACTTTCTTATGGCTCTGCGAATTCCATGTACTTGTAGACATCTAGATAACTGAAGCCGAGCTGCTGTGTGCAGGGTCCAGTTGGCAGGAGGAAGAAACACCTGGAGGAAGTACAGCACTCAAGGCTCTGACCTGACTGGCAGGCAAGGTCCTGCTGTAGGCATACTGAGAGAGGCTGAGAAAAGCGGCCTGTGGCAGGGATGTGAACTGTGACAGACAAAAGATGACCTTGCTCCTCACTCTGCAGAGAAAGCAGAAGCAACCATAGAGACTTCTCTGTCTCTCCGTCCCAAGTGTGCGCATATGGCAAGGACTGTCTCTCGGAATCCCCAGTCAGAAAGTGGGAGTCTCTAAGTTCCCACTGTGATGCTCGTAGATCTCAAGCCATAAACACCGTTGTCCCTCATCCTCCTCACTTGCACAGTTTGTGACACTGACCCCCCACTCCTCTGTTCCCAGCTTTGAGACTGAAGTCTCCCCACTTTGGTACTCCGGCCCTACTCAGCTGCTGCTCTTCCTCCTCTGCTGGCTTCCCACACGCTGGTGTGGATCACCTCCTGCGGTTTCTTTCAAGCTGAGGATGTTAGTTGGCAGGTCTGCCTTGGGGCTGAGATCCCCATATATCTAACAGACATGCTGGTGAAAGAGATGTGGCCATACTTGGAATAGCAAGACCCTAACAATGTATTTGAAAACTGAGTCTACCCTTTCTCTCTGAATAATATACAGGTAGGCTGGGGAGTTTCCAACCTATTTCTTGTGTGTCTGGGGGCGGGTGCTTATGGACAAGCAGGTGGATTGTGTGTACGTGGCGGGGGGAGGCTAGAAGGACAACTTTGTTTATAATCCTCAAGTGCTGTCCACCTTGGTTTTTTGTTTATTTGTTTTTTGAGACAGGTTGCCTAGCAAGACCCAGGGATCCACCTGTCTCTGCCTGCTAATCACTGGGACAAGAGCATGCTACCATGCTGGGAGATGTTGCATTCATTCTGAGGATAGAATTCAAACTATCCACTCAACTATTTCCCCAGCCCCCGGTATACTTTCCAGTTCAGTTCTTTTGCCTATTTCAGAACTTTCCTTTTCAACTTCTTAGTGACCACATCTATTTGGCTGCCTTCAGCCCCTCCAAAGGTCCAAATATAAACTGTTAGTCTTTTCTTTAAAAGCAGCTGTCTGGGAGCTGGGGAGATGGCTCAGTGGCTGAGAGTATTGTCTGCTCTTCCAGGGTCCCTGGGTTCAAGTCCCAGCACCCACATGGCAGCTCACACCTGTCTGTTCCAGTTCCAGGGCTTCTGACACCTCACAAAGACACACATGCAGGCAAAACACCAGCGCACATTTTTTAAAAGTAGCTGGAAAAAAAGAAAGAAATCGGATATTGGTGGTGCATGTTTAATTCCAACACTCAGGAGGCAGAGGCAGATGAAATCTCTGTGAGTTCAAGGCCAGCCTGGTCTACAGAGCAAGTTCCAGGACAGCCAGGGCTACACAGAGAAACCCTGTCTCTGAAAACAACAAACAAACAAAAAACCCAAAACAAAACCAAGTAGCTGACTGCAGGGGCTGTCTCTGACTCTTTTACTGGCTTTTGGGGCCCTACTTTGAATAGTGGGTACCTTGCCCAGCCTTAATACATGGGGTATTCATCATTTTTCCTTTGTATATTAATAAATAAAGCTTGCCTGAAGATCAGAATGCAAAACAGCCACAACTAGTCAGCCATACAGGCCAGGCAGTGGTGGCTCACACCTTTAATCCCAGCACTAGAGAGGAATATAAGATGAGAAGAGACAGAAACTAGCTCTCTTTCAGTCTGAAGATTTCATAGACGTAATAGCTTCAGGTTGAACCCCGATATCTATCTCTGGGTTTTTATTATCCATGCTGTACATGGGGAGGTGCATAGTCTTATGGCAACTTGATGCAATGTTTTGTTGATATCCATGGGATATCGTGCCCTTTTTGAACAGAAACAGAGGAGTGCATTGAGGGATGGGAACAGAGGAGGTGGGGGGAGGGACTGAGAGGAGAGGAGGGAGGGGAAACTTCAGCCTGGAAGTTAAATAAATAAATATTTTTAAATAGTAGCTATCTCCTTTCTAAGTATTATTTTCAAGCCCCTATTTTTCTCTCTCTCTAACCCTAACTAATCAAGCTGCAACCTTCGCATCATGTCTCAATCATTTAAAGTTCTTTCTTGTTGTCCCCCCTTAGGGTCCCTGATGTGGGATTTCCCTCTGTACGTTGTGATTACCATTGACAAATAAAGGAACTGCTTTGGGCCTATAGCAGAGCCATAGGGGAACAGAGCTAGGTGGGGAAAACTAAGCTGAATGCTGGGAGAGAGAAGGCGGAGTCAGAGAGAAGCCATGGAGCCCCACCAGAAGCGAATGCCGGAACTTTAGCTAGTAAGCCACAGCCACATGGTGATACACAGATTAATAGAAATGGGTTCAATTAATATATAAAAGTTAGCCAATAAGAAGCTAGAGCTAATGGTCCAAACAGTGATTTAATACAGTTTCTGTGTGATTATTTTGGTTCTAGGCAGCGGGAACCAACAAGCAGCTCTCTCCTCCTACAAATTGGTGCCCAATGAGGAGGCAACTACATCCACATAAAAACCTAAAGATTTTCGGATCTACTGCTGAGCAGCCGGGTACCAACAAGCAGTCTCCCTGCAACAGGTCCCCACATCAATCTCTCTGTGAGTCTGACCTCAGATTCACTTTTTGGATCAGCTTCTCAAGTGGGGCTCACACCTCGAGAGCTGTACAGCCCCTGGTCTACATAGGGCTGTCCATTTTCCACCTCTGACATTTGCTTCACTTAGAAAGCAACAGCCTTCTTTTCTTTCTCCAAACTTCTAAGCCTAAAAAACAAAATTGTGCCTTAAATACCAACTCTTTCCCTTGTCAACATGCCCCCAACCTCTGGCATCTTCGGTGTCCAAAAACCCTCCACTTAAGGCCCCGAGGTCTCCCTGCAAAACTCCACCTCTTCCCAGGCAAACTACAAATGCCTCCTCCCCCCCCCCACCCCCCGTCACTGATGCTGCCCCACAGAGGCACGCAGTCCTCGGATCCCGCGTAGTTCTGTGTTTTTCCACAAGGCCCCTCTCGTGGCTTGGGATTTTCTCTGGTTTTTATCTCTGGGAGCGAGGATAACTCCAACTCCTCTCTTTGCCTGCAGCATCCTCCCCATGGAAGCGACTTGTGCGGGACAGCGTCAGGCAAGACCGCTGCAGCTCCGCCCTTAGCTGCGGGCTTTGGGTGAGCCGCTTAACTTTGCTTGCAAAACTAAACAGAGACCCGGTAGGTGCTTGGGGCGGTGAGACTGTGCGCTCCTCTTTCCCCCAGGGAATCCCAGGCCGCCCGGCTGTTTGCATCCCGGCACCGCCCTCCTCCACCTCCTGGAGGTCCTCCTCCACCCCTGGGCCCCCGAGAGCCCAGGGATCCCGCCGCGCTGCGTGGGCGGCGGCCTAAGCCTCGGTCCCGGAAGGCCTCACACCTCGGCGGCCGCTCCGCGACCCCGACGACCGCGGAGCCGCAGCCAGACGCGAGCCGTTTGGACCCTGCGCGGCCCCCGTAGCGCGGCTCCTCCAGCAGGTGGTTCTGGTCCTCCGCGGTCCGTCACCCGCGGACCTCTCCTCGGCGCCGGCGTCCGCGTCCGCCGCGCAGCACCGCGACCCTCAGGAAAGAAGTCCCGCGCGCCGCTGAGGGCGCCAGGCCTGCCGGTCCGCTCGGCTCCGCCCGACCGCCCGCCCACCGCGCGCTCACTCGGCCGGCCGCGGGCCCGTTACTGCGGACGCCCCGCGCCCCGCGCCCAACGCCCGGGGCTGCGCGGGAGCGGCGGGGAGAGGAGAGCGGCCGCGCCGCGGCGAGGCCCGGTGAGTCCGTCCGCGGAGCCCCCGCCGCTCGCGGCTGAGGCGCCGCGGCCGAGTGCGGCCTGGGGCGGGGAACCGGGCCGGCCGGGGCGAACGGGGCGAGCGGGCCGCGGAGGCTGCGGGAGAGTGCGGGCCGCAGGCCTCGTCCGCCGCGGGGCCGCGGGAGTGACAGGTGCGGCCGGCCGGGCGCCCACCTGACTCGGTGTCGCTTTGCAGGCTCTGACGCCGCGTCTCGGCTGCAGCTGCTGCGGCTCGCCCAGCCCTGCGCTCGCTCGGTCTCCGGGGACTTGGCTGAGAAGTTTTGGAGCAGCCGGAACCCGCTCGTGCGTGAGATTGGGCGTCGGTGCCCGAAGGAGGGAGAGCGAGGACGCGGACGGACGGCACACCGCCCTCCTCCCGGCGGCCAGAGGTAGACGTGCCTTCCCCGTCGACGCTTTCGGTCGCTAACGCCCCGCGCTGGGGTCGCCAGCTCCGGGCTGCTCGGACCTACCGAACAGTTGGGACAAAAAGTTTATTCCATTGTCTGCCCCGCCCCCTCTCGTTGCCATATTTCTCCATCGACGTCGGCGGAGAGTTCTAGTGAGAGCCGGGCTCTCCTAACGCCGAAAACGCAGTCTTCTGCACCCTGGTCGGTTCCTACGAACGTGCTGGCACCTGTAACCAGGATGAAGTTAAGCTGTAGCTCCCAAAGTATTCTAGAAGCTCTCGGAAAATCGTAATGCTATATTGAAAATCTTTCTAGAAAACTAGGGTTTCTCTACACTAGTTTATCCCACTAAAACTGGTAAGTTGTGAAAGCCTGTTTTATGAGGTTATCATTATAGGGCAAAACACACTAACTTGCACTGACCCAAGGGCTCCTAGGAGGGCTGCTGTGGAAATTCTTACTTTCCTTCATGGCAGAATCCCTTAGTACATTGTTGGGATTTTTTTTTTTTAAAGTTTTCACCGCACGGAAATTGAGAGGTGCAGATCAGAGAAGGAAGGCTGTTCTTAACCATTGTGGGGGGGTGTGGAATTTGGGGGAGACCTTTAAGTTGATGTCATTTGCAATAAATATGTTGGAAGCAAAGGTTGAGAATGCACTTGGCCGTTGATGCCTGTGAACCTTAAGTTTTAAGAAGTCAAAATGACAGGTCCAAGGATTAGTGATGCTTAATGCCGTTTCAGTGTATGCACGTTTTTAATGTTGGGGTGAGGCGGTGCTTGGCATCAGGACTCTTCATAGTCTAATTCATCCGTGTGTTGTTTCTAATCTATGAGAGGTCACTGAGGCCTCTCTAGTGGATGTGGTGGTGGTGGACACCCGCATTCCCAGGACTCGGGGCTGGGACAGGAGGTTGAGAGTCTAGAGGCCACGTTCACTGATGGTGTTTACAGCGTGGGTTTTCTTTTTGGATAATACTGGATGACAGTATTGATAGAGGGTAGCTGCTGTTCGTTTTTCAAAGGGAGAAAATTGTTGTTCTTGAGTGAAAATTATGTCACCGAGTTGCCCCTGACAAGTTCTTTCCTGACTCTAGTGAGATCATAGAGGGAAGGAGGTCAGGATGGCTGCAACCCTTCATAGAGACCAAGAAGGTAGATCCTGTATACGTCTTCTTGGTTGCAGCTCAGCCCACTCTTTACTCCCTCATCCTTTAAAAACCAGCACTTAACACAAAATCAAAAGCTTCCTGTGACAAGAGTCCTAGAAAAAATTAGTTGTAGGAATAATTAGTTGTTATGGTACTTTTTTTGGGGGGGGGGGTGTTTAAGACAGGGTTTCCCTGTGTAGCCCTGGCTATCCTGGAACTCACTCAGAGATTTGCCTGCCTCTGCCTCCTGAGTGCTGGGATTAAAGGCGTGCGCCATCATCACCTGGCATGATGGTACCTCTAATGAAACAGTTTTGAATTGATGATTGTGCATTTACATGCACTTTGCACCCTCATTTTCCTAGTTCAGAAGCACACATTTCAGTGCACACTTAGGTGTAGCACTCTGTACCTGGAAAATGTAACCAGGCCCAGCCAGTAAGCTTGATACCGTTATTAGTTTATTTGATGTTATTTCTTCTTATTTTTGCTGAGACAGTTTCCTAATGTGTAGCCCAGACTAGCCTTGAACATATACCCTTCCTGCCTTAGCCCTGCAGATATGCACATTACAATTGACTGATAAATCTATCTGTTAATGTGCGCTCCAAGTCCTTTATGTTTTGGGGGACACAGGGAAGAGATCCATGTTCAGCATTTTGAAATCGGGACATCAGGGAGCTAGATAGAATGACAGCTATTTTAAGGAATCCATTGGCTAACGGGTAAATACAAGTGTGGGAATATCAAAGAGAGCGAACGGTTAGCTTGAGGGCAGTTCAGAGTTGACTGCAACAGCTAAATCTGAGGATAGAGGAGACATTCTAGACCTCAGGGGCGGTGGAGGTAAAGACAGGAACAAGTAAACAAGTTGTTCGTCCGTTTTCTTCAAGAACCTTGACCATCTGAGGCGCCTCTATGGAAATCTGACATAAGCCGTAATGTGTAAGCAGCAGCTAGTCGGATTTAGGGTACAGGGTGAAGGGAAAGTTGGTCATTCTGTAGCCTCAGAGGAGGAGAACAGTGAGATGGCTTTGCATGTGATAAATTACGTGCATGCTTTTTGTTTGTTTGTTTTGTTTTATTTTCTCTTTTTTTATTGCTTTATAAATAATACCATTCACAATTTCCTCTTCCTCCCCTCCTCCCATTTCCCTCCTGCTCCCCCAACTCACCATCCCCCCTTCCCCTCCAGTCCTAAGAGAGGGCAGGGTATCCTGCCCTGTGGGAAGTCCAAGACCCTCCCCCCCTCCATCCAGGCTTAGGAAGGTGTGCATCCAAATAGACTAGGATCTCCAAAAGCCAGTACATGCAGTAGAGACAAATCCCAGTGCCATTATTATCGGCCCCTCAGTCCCCTATTGTCAGCCACATTCAGAGGGTCCAGTTTGATCCCATGCCCGTTCAGTCCCATTCCAGCTAGCTTTGGTGAGCTCCCATTAGATCAGGCACACTGTCTCAGTGGGTGGACCAACCCCTCACGGTTCTGACTTCCTTGCTCATCTTCTCCCTCTGTCTGCTCTTCAACTGGTCCTTGGGAGCTCAGTCCAGTGCTCCTATGTGGGTCTCTGTCTTTATCTGTTGCTGGATGAGGGTTTTATGGTGATATTCAAGATAGTCATCAGTCTGACTACAGTACAAGGCCAGTTCAGGCCCCTCTCCTCCACTGCCCAGGCTCCTAGCTGGGGACATCCTCATGAACACCTGGGAACCCCTCTAGAGCCAAGCCTCTTGCCAACCCCAAAATGGCTCCCTTGATGAAGTTATCTTCTTCCCTGCTTCCATGTCTGTCCTTCCTCCATCTCAACTATCCCACTCCCCTAAGCTCTCCCCAACCCTCTCCTTCTCCTTCTCTCTCCCCCTCTCCCCTTCCCCCACCCCACCCTTACCCCCTTACCTGCATGCTTTTATTATATATGTTCCTGCAACATTGGTTTTTTAAGTTACCTCGTGAACTCCTCTTGTTCTTCTTCAACCCCTGACACTAGCTAATTTTATCTCACAGAGGAGACTTTACCTTTGTCTTCAGTAGTGCTGAACAGTAGTTGTCCTAATTAAACTATAAATGTCTATATATTAAATACCTTTTATAGACTACCTTAGAGAAGGCCATTATTCTTCTTTGTATATTGTGTGTCTTAATTATGTAAGTATGTGTAGATGAGTTGTAAGTATCTGGATTTAAAGAGGACAGGAAAGGAAGTGATGCTGTATTACTCTCAGATGTGACTGGAGGTGAGGATGCTGAAGCTGAGGATTCGAGAACAAAGGAGCACTAACCCCAGCCACATCCTACAGGAAGGACTTGAAAACCTGGGGTGTCTGTGTGAGCTGTAGGGACCTGGGGTGTCTGTGTGAGCTGTAGGGACCTGGGGTGTCTGTTGAGCTGTAGGGACCTGGGATGTCTGTGTGGGCTGTAGGGACCTGGGGTGTCTGTGTGGGCTGTAGGGAACCTGAGGTGTCTGTGTGGGCTGTAGGGACCTGGGGTGTCTGTGAGCTGTAGGGACCTGGGGTGTCTGTGTGGGCTGTAGGGACCTGGGGTGTCTGTGTGGGCTGTAGGGACCTGGGGTGTCTGTGTGGGCTGTAGGGCTGTTGTTTTCTCAAGCTGCAAAGGAGATGGTGATTGTATGAAATAACTGTTTGTGGAAGTCTTACAAGTTGATTGGTGACGCTAATGGGCTCTTAGGAGCATGCTTTCCTTCTTTTGCTATCCTTAGGCATCACTGACATGAAAGACAGCAGTCTGACTGCTGATGCTAACTTTCTGAATTCGTCATTTTGATACATGGTAGGAAAAGTCATACTGTATTGGTTCAACTCTGCTTTTTCAGTTGAGGGTAGATAGTAATTTTCATGATGTTTTGTTTTTCATAGGAGTCATTAGAAAACATAATGTAATCTCAAGCATTTTTCTTATATTTTTTCTTTTTTGTAAGCTCAAGGACCATTTTATTGGACCTTAAGATTAAAAATGGCAGGAAAGTTACAGATTTTGGTTGGTGCTTGAAAGAAGGAGATAGTGTTGTGTCTTCTGAGATCAGGTCCAAGAAGTCAGGCTCAGAGTGGGATTCTGAGAGAGTGTCTTGGAATCTAAGGAGCATCTTGAGAGAAGTGTGGGAATGAGAGCACCCCGGGTGTTAGGACAGGATTGTCTAGGGATTTAGCCGGCATCTGAAGAAAAGATGGGAAATGGAAACAGAGTATCCTATAGGTGTGGAGGTGGAGCTTGGAGAAGTGGAATGCCTGCTGGTGGAGAGGCCGCAACTGCCATGGGCTGGATATGGTTTTGTCATTTAACCTTTACATCTGTCGCTTCAGAAGTACTGGTTACTCTGCCTTTGACATGGCTGCCGGGTGAGGATGTAGGGTCAGGGTCTGGAGGCCAGCCTGGGCCTCACAGTGACCTCTGAACGCTGCGGTTGGCTTGAGAATTCTGGTTGTAAACAAGAACAGGGAGCAGATGAACTCTGAAGTTTTAGCTTTGGAAGACTAAGTTGAACGTTATTTTTGTCTTGAATATATTTACTATATTAATACTTAGCATACTTAATAATTTATTATATTACTGTTCAGGTGACTGCCACTGCCCTATCCCTTTTTGCAGCCTTAAACCTGAGTGAAGAGGGAATCACCATTGCTCATAAGCATTTCTCCTTTGCACTGGACCCCTTTGAAGTGTCTTAGCAGAGTGCTTTATCTTAGAACGTTATTCTTGTCATTTCTCATTTAATCTAATGTTCCCTTTGTGCTTTGCCTTTGTTATTCACTCATTCAGAACATGTGTGTGTGCAATGTTTAAGACATAGTCCCGCTGGGCAGCAGTGATGCACATCTTTAACCCCAGCAGTGGGGAGGCAGAAGCAGGCTGATCTCTGTGAGTTTGAGCCCAGCCTGGTCTACAAAATGATTTCTAGGGCAGCCAAGGCGACATGGGAAGGAAAAGCCACAGTCCCAGCTGTGGTTGCTGGTCTTAGGTAGACCCTTGCTCATCTTTTGTAGTGTACTGAGTACACTTGTTAGGTCTTGGATGTAGTTTTACTGATTGCCTAATTTCTACTTCATGCCCACAAACCTTTTTCTTTCATTTCAAAGGTTACAACCTTAGTTTTTAGATAGGGCAAATGTTGGTTTGAATTTCAGAATGTATTTTGCAGTGCAGACATCGTGTTTAGTCACGTTTTAGTTGTGCCAGGTCCTAACTCCTGTTCAAGAGGTGTTTTAGAAAAGATAATTGGTCTACAAGAGCTAGTTCCAGGACAGGTTCCAAAGCTACAAAGAAACCCTGTCTTGAAAAACCAAAAAGAAAAAAAAAAGAAAAGATAATTTATGAGCATTTAACTCATACAAGACATTACAGTCGAATAATACCAGTAAGTGCTGACATTTAAGCGCTGTGGTGCATCTTCACACAGTTCACACTGACCGACTGCATGTGAAGCCCTCTGGAATCAGTGCTGCTCTCCTCACGTCACAGGGAGGGAGGTCATGGGTTGTTAGGGGTTCACACTAAGGAGCAGATTGGGCTTGGCCAGACTCCCTGACTCCTGCTGAGCTCTTGGCTTAGGACCCTCTGTCCTTTGACATGGCATTTCTAGCATAAAGGAAAAGGGCGTCTTTACTGTCTCAACAAGGAGACCTGTAAGTGTATAGAGCTAATGGGAGAAATATATCCACATTTTAAAAATAATGTTATCAGGAGAAATAAAACTGTAGTAATAAGGAGCGGTGGGGCTGCGTCCCCAGCACCCCAGTCGCTTGGCTAGCTTATGCCCCGACATAATTACACACAAACTGTATTCATTTAAACACTGCTTGGCCCATTTCTATCTAGCCTCTTGTTGGCTAACTCTCGCACCTGGACTAGCCCATTTCTAATATTCTATGTAGCACAGCTAGGTGCGCTTACCGGGAAGATTCTAGCCTACGTCCATCCTGGGTCGGAGCTTCATCACATGTGTCTGCCCAGGAGCCGGGAGCATGGGGTCTCTGCTCCAGAGAGCAGGGCTGTCCGTCTGAGCTCACTTCCTCTTCCTCCCAGCATTCTGTTCTGTTTACTCCACCCACCTATGTTCTAAGCTATGAGCCCAAGCAGTTTGTTTATTACTTAACCAATGAAATCAACAGATTGATATATGACACTCCCACATCATAAAACAATAAGTTATCAGGCCTGGCACTAAATACTGAATTTGTATAAATTCAGTAATTCAAATTTTAAACTGATGGCAAAGCTCTGGCTGGCAGGATATGTCTGCATTGTCTAAGCATGACCTTGTAGATAGATTTGTGTGTTGTTAAAAGAGCATGTTATGAGCTCGCAAAGGAGGGGAAATGTCAGTGTAGAGGTTTAAGGCCATTGCTTAGAATCTGCTCATAGGGGCTGGAGAGATGACTTAGAAGTTAAGAATACTGACTGACCTTCCAGAGGTCCTGACTTAAATTCCCACCAACCACATGGTGGCTCACACCCATCTATAATGAGATCTGGTGCCCTCTTTTGGTGTGCAGGCATACATGCAGGCAGGATACTGTATGTATAATAAATAAATAAATTTTAAAAAAATCTCCTCATAGGAGATGGGGCTTCCACTCCTGAGCTGCTCCTCCCTATGCTGTGTGCTTTGCTCCTCCAGCACCTGCAGCATGGTGGTAGCAACTCTCCCCAGCGCTACAAGCTCAACGGTGGCCAGCAGTGATGTCAGCTGTCAGCTCAGGTACAGTCCCAAGGGCAGGATACTTGTCCTGTCACAGTGACAGGGCAGCATGTACAGGAGCAACCACCAGCAGATGCCAGGTAAGGCTCCTTGCATCTGATGGCGACTGTCCCGAAGGTGGTGACTCCACAGGGGTTTCTTAGTCACTCAAAAATCTGAAAGAAACTGTAGATAAACTGGAAACTGCTTTATGCCACAGAAAGAAAATTCTCTGAACTTTGGAGAAATGTTTTAGAATAAATATTTATAAACACTAATACAGAACAATCCAAGCACAGAATTTGTGATTTTGATATCTATTCTAGAATGGAAAGGAAATGTCTTTAAAATACATCATTTGAAGCCAGGCTATACCACAATAACAGTCTGAAAAATCCCAGGAGCTTAAAGTAGCCAACCGTTTGGTCCAAGCCCCATGCCTGGCACAGGTTATTAAGGGTTTAATTATTTAGTCTGGCTAATAGAGCCAGCCCCATCCCTGTGTGGCATGTGCTTCCAGGAATTTAGATGAAGGGGAAAGAGAACACGGTGTCATTTAAAGCTGGTATTTCGGGCTAAAGAAGTGATTCTGTGGATAAGAGCACTTACTGCTCTTGCAGAGGACCCAGGCTTGGTTTTCACCACACACACAGTGGGTCACAACCATCTGTATGGCAGTTCCAGGGGATGCAGTGCCCTTTTCTGGCCTCTGTGGGCTCCTGCGTACCTTGAGCACACAAGTCACTTATCCTCAGCACTTTGGCCGTTATTTTAACTGCACTCCGTTCTAAACAAGCTAAGAGCAGCACTGATCAAAGTGGTTTGGCGTGCCTTTTCAGCAAGACAGCAATAGAAAATACCACGCCAGGTCTATGACCTCATCAGCCATAGGCTTTGGCCAAAGTTGGCAGTACTCGGCATGAATTCCATGGTAGAGGAGATGTAAGTTCTTTATTTTTTTAAACTAGTTGTAAGGCCTCAGTCTTTATGATCAAACTTCAGCATCTTGATTGTAAGAGTGCCCTTTCCTGTTCTTTTGTTTCCTGGCAGTCTGGGATAAGTGTAGCTGCAGGAAGGGTCTATGTGCATACAGAAAAGTGTTCCTCCTCTTCTGCGGCTGACCCTCGTCATTCAGGGTCTCTCCCATAAGTATGTACACACCACAAAAACATTCAAGGAAAAGAAAAGTCAAGGATGTTAAAATTAGATGTGGGAGTGAGCGTCATGCATGATTTTAGTCTTGCATTGTTGCCTGTGAGATAAATAAAACTCACATTTTCTTAATTTTGTGTTATTAAGTTAAAAATATGCTAATGCTAATGAAATTGTGGGTACAAACCCAAATACTACCAAATCTGTTGTCAGGAGCAATGTCTTTCATATGTCTGGCTGGTCTAGACACTAGAATAGTTTTTCTTCACTGTGTTTCTCACCTGCCTCCTCTTTCCCCTGCCCACAGGAGTTTTCTAGAACAGTTTGAGCCATGGCTTCAGCGGTCCTCAGCTCTGTTCTCACTACCGCCTCTCGGTTTGCCCTGTTACAAGTTGATAGTGGCAGTGGTTCTGATTCTGAGCCTGGAAAAGGCAAAGGCCGGAATAATGGGAAGCCTCAAGCCTTGGGAAACAAACCAACTACAAATGAAAAAAAGAGAGAGAAAAGAAGGAAAAAGAAGGAGCAGCAGCAGAGTGAAGCAAATGAGGTAGCTATTAGAGTTCCTGGTTTCCCTGGGTCTCTGAGTGGAAGCTGCACCGGCGTGGCCATTGCGCCCTGTCCTGGAGCAGCGCAGCTTGGTGAACAGAAACCTACCTGCAGTCAAATGTGAGCATTTAGGAGGCGCTTTCCCTGGTGTGCGTGCTCTTAAGTTAAACAGAGATGTCTTCAAAGGAGCCGGCCTGTGCCTGGAGCCCCAGCCTCTCAGGAGACTTAGCTAGCCTGGACCTGGACAGCATAGTGAGACTTTGTGTGGTAAACAATGAATAAGTTCATAAGTAAAGGTAAATAAAATCCACACGTGACTTTTGAGTTTTATAAGTTTTATAATGTGTATTATGACTAAAAATATTTTAAAATTAAAATCATTAACTGAATTTAATATATTTTGTGTTTATTTTATAGCTCAGGAATCTTGCTTTTAAGAAAATTCCCCAGAAATCCTCCCATGCCATTTGCAATGTTCAGCATGAGCTTTCATTGCCAAACCCAGCACAGAAGGAGTCTCGGGAAGAAAACTGGCAGGAGTGGAGACAGAAAGATGAGCAGGTAAAACCAAGTAAACGAAGCTGCCTGCTCGCTTCCCTAGCTGATGGGATTTTCGGGGGGGGGGCGGGCTCTGAGTCCGTGTCAACATTCTACAGAGCCACTAGTGTTGGAGGACTCCTGTGTGCAGCCTGGATGAGAGGTTGTGGCCCGTGTGTACATTGTGTGGGTTAGATTTGTCTGCAAAGCAGTTGAGCGTTTTCTCTGGGTTTTGTGGGTTTTGTTTTTTAGTTCATCTATTGTGTACAAATGAAAAGAGTGTTAGGAACATAGATATAATTAATTTCGGATGGCTGGAGAGATATCTCAGTGGTTAAAAGGCACTTATTCAAATTTTTTTAAAAACCACATTTGTAGGGACACAGATCTGTTAAATATCTAATGACAGCTTTGATTAAACGTAAGGACTGAGGTGAGAGTTCCTTTTAACGTCAGTGTAGAACTGTTGAGGGCATGCTTGTTCTGTGATCTATTTACATGGCGTTTGATTCTGTATCTCTAAGTGCTTATTCTGAGGACACACGTGAGTGAGGGAAGGGAGTGTGTGTGCTTCCTACATGCGTAGGAAATGAACAGTGTTTACTTGCATATTAAGCTATAGTTTGGTCTGTAGGAAAGTAGGCCTTATTTTCAAATAGATTTCTGGTCCATTTAGTGGATTTTACTACCATTCTTGTGTTACCAGTTTTTTTTTTTAAATATTTATTTATTTATTTATTATGCATACAATATTCTGTCTCTGTGTATGTCTGCTGGCCAGAAGAGGGCACCAGACCTCATTACAGATGGTTGTGAGCCACCATGTGGTTGCCAGGAATTGAACTCAGGACCTCTGGAAGAGCAGGCAATGCTCTTAGCCACTGAGCCATCTCTCCAGCCCCCCCCCCTTTTTTTAAAGGTTTATTTATTTATTATGTACAAAGTGTTCAGCCTCCATGCCTGCAGGCCAGAAGAGGGCACCAGATCTCATTACAGATCGTTGTGAGCCACCATGTGGTTGCTGGGAATTGAACTCAGGACCTCCGGAAGAGCAGTCTGTGCTCTTAACCTCTGAGCCATCTCTCCAGCCCCTTGTGTTACCAGTTTTAAAGGAAGTAGACAAAACTGGGTGCCATAGTGCATATATGTAATCCAAGCATCCGTCCACTTGGGAAACTGAGTCAGGGAGCTCTTGAATTCCAGCCCAGCCTGTTTGGACAAGATCCTGTCTGAGAAGCCAGACAAACTAGCACAGGCAGTGCCCCAGTGTGCTCTTCTCAGAGACTGAGTTCAGTGTGTTTCCTTGAGGATCTTGCGTTTTCCACCACTCAGCTTGTGAGCACCTGGAGGTGCTCTGGAGCCATGCATTGGTGCCGTTGACATTTCCAGATAGCGAGGTGCTGTTGGGCATTGGTAGAGTTTACATGGTTTTCACCAGAGAGAGCTTCTCCTGATTGCCCAAAGGTTACTGGACGCTGATATAGGAAATAACTCCGTCACACCGAAATCAGTGCAGTCTGCTAACATGAGCACTGTCTCAGGTTTTTCCCCTTTCTGCCGCCACAGTGATCAGGGAGTTCTGAAGAGAACATAGATCTCATAGTTCTATATATGTGTTTCGTATGTGGCTCAGGGGTTTGTGAGGGATTTGTACTGGGTGTGTGCTGGCTTACACAGAAGGACCTAGATTTTTGTTAGGACTTCTGCTTAGAAGCAGATTGTCAAGATCATTCCCTGTGTCAGGACGGTCTTCGGGATTCCATAAGATAGCTGTATATGTAAGCAATGCTATTCCACAGTTAATCTATTCCTTTTTCTACCTATCAAAATTATTTCTGTCCTTTAAGTATCAACATAAAATTCATTTTCAGAAAATTCCCAGCTAAGGTTCTTGTATATTTTTTAGAATTTTAAATTTCATTTTTGTTTATTTGTATACTAGTTTATGTTAATAAAAATAAATTTAAGGGATAGGTCAGGGTTTTGCTTGATGCTATCTTATACTTTATCATTGCTTCTTATCATGCTCTAGGCCAATTGCCAGCAGCACAGGAAAGTCAGGAGACCTCAGGCTGTTACAGTCAGAGTCCAGGGAGTGTGTGGTTTGTGTTCTTTGTTTGTTCCACTTTAAGGTTCATTTCTATGCCAAGACCAACCTGGACTATGTAGTGAGTTCTGGGACAGCTAAGGATACATAGTGTAGTCCAGCTTTTTTTTGGGCTGCCAACTAACAGAAAAACAACACAGAGACTTAATATTAATTATGAAAACTCAGCCTTTGGCTTAGGAAAAATTGTCCCACTAGCTCTTGTAACTTCAATTAACCCTTATTTTTAAATCTATGTTCTACGTGGCTCAGTTACCTTTACTCTGTTTTGCCCATCCTGCTTCCTCTCTGTCTGGTTGGCAACTCCCCATTTTTCTTCCCAGAGCTCTCTGTACAGAAGTCCCTGCTATACTTCCTGCCTAGCTATTGGACATTTAGCTTTTTATTAAACCAGTCACAGTGACACATCTTTTACATAGTGTAAAGGAATATTCCACAACAATGTAGTGAAACCATCTCAAAAGAAAAAAAGTTTGATTTCATTCATTTTTTGTTATTGTTTTATCAGAATGTTTTTCCTTAACACTTAAAATCAGTGAGTTAATGTGGAAAAATCACAATATCTTGCAAGACGTCCAGCTTCCTAACCTGTTTTGCTGTCTGGCATGCTGGGATATCATTGCAAATATATGATTCGATAGAAATAACCACAATTTTTTTCCATAATTAAATGTTAGAAATAGGATTTTAATAGCAAATTAATCAGCTTTGTTCAGAATAAACTAAAATTTTGTTGATTTTTTTGTTAAATCATCATATTTTTAATTTATGAACAAACATTTTGTACTTAGCTTAGATGTATATAAATTGATTTATACTCTTTAAATGTGGCTAATATATGTAAATTCTATTTTTACTTTATTATTATTTTTCATTGTCTGTATAGGTTTTTATGTTTATGGGAGTCTGGCCTGCATGTATATATGTGCACCACATGTGTATCTAGTGCTTGCAGAAGCCAGAAGAGGGCATTGGATCCCTGGACCTGGAGTTACAGATGGTTGTGAGCCACCATCTGCCTTGTGAAGCTGGGAATGGGTTCTCTGCAGGAGCAGCCAGTGCTTGGAACCACTGTTAATCTGAATTGAGCTAATCTCAGCCCTGTTAGATTGTTGTGTGTTTACTGTGGGTTTACTTGGATTTCTCATGTACTCTTGTTTATCATTCTAATTCTTACTGTTTTTCTGTTAGGTTAGTGCTTTTCTGTGTAAAGCTAACTTGTTTTGCTGTTTTTGTTTTCATCATAGGATGAGATGAGATACTTTCAAAGGGGTGATTCCAGTTGGAAAGAAAGGTTTAATTGTAGATTTCAATATTAAGTTTTCTAGTTTTCAAGATACCCTTTTACCCTGGTGACGACAGAGTTTAGTCTATATATTTTTAAACATTAAGTAACAAAAATATTTCTTAATAGCTTGGGCAAAAACATATTGAGGAGTGATTAAAACCTGAAAACTTAGGCCGTAGGAAAGATGGGAACTAAGAAGTTCTGGGACACCAGAAGCTAGAGCCAGCAGACCCCACTTGCCAGAGTGACGTCAGGTGCTTAGACCTTTCTTGAGCCATCTCAAGGCCATGCCTAGGAGAGCAGAAAAGAGCTGGCTGTGTTGCTGGTGATTCAGCTTGAGTGTCAGTGTGGTGTTAGAACAGTGGGGTTGCTCACCTGTCCTGTCGAATCAAGGAAGAGTGGGAGAGAAGAAATAGGAGATGTCAGTAGCACATGTAGACACAGATATGTTCTCGGATTAACAATGAAAAAGGAGATAGGGATTTTAGAAATAGGGGTTATGCTTTCATACAGTACAGGGCTCCCAGAAGCATGGCTGAGTAACTTCAGAGAACTGAGAACTTTTTCCGTTTGATTTTTCTTTTTTTTTTTTTATATTTATTTATTTATTTATTTATTTATTTATTTATTATGTATACAATATTCTGTCTGTATGCCTGAAGGCCAGAAGAGGGTGCCAGACCTCTTTACAGATGGTTGTGAGCCACCATGTGGTTGCTGGGAATTGAACTCAGGACCTTTGGAAGAGCAGGCAATGCTCTTAACCACTGAGCCATCTCTCCAGCCCCCCGTTTGATTTTTCAAGACAGGGTTTCTCTGTGTAGCTTTGGAGCCTGTCCTGGAACTTGCTCTGTAGACCAGGCTGACCTCAAACTCACAGAGATCCGCCTGCCTCTGCCTCCTGAGTGCTGGGATTAAAGGCGCGTGCCACCACCACCCCATGAGAAGTGATAACTTTTTATTTAAAGTGCACTCTTTTTATGTTCCTATATATATTACCATATGTCATGGTTATTTCTTTTTTGCATGTGTATGTTATCGTGTGTCATGGTTGTTCTGAGAGTATGGTATAAAGCTGTGCTTACTCTGAACCTTCTTTCTAGCTGACATCTGAAATGTTTGCGGCTGACCTGGAGAAGGCCTTGTTGCTGAGTAAACTGGAATATGAAGAGCACAAGCAGGTACGGAGGTGTTCACCAGTGTAAACATCTAGACATTTTTAAGTGGTCAAAGCTCAGGTCAGTCCTTTCTGATGTATATAGAATTTCTTCTTTAGGGCTGGGATGTAACTTAGTGTTAGGCCCTGGATTCATTCCTTAGAACTACAAAAAAATAAAGTTTGCCTTAAAAACCCATGATAGGATCCACGCCTCAGATCCTGAGGGACAGAAACAAATGAGCCGTGCTTTGTCTAAAGCTTAGAATGTCAAGTTTCTCCCGTCAGATGAAAAAAACAAAAGAAATAAAATTAAAGCCAGATGATTTATTTTCATTTTAAGTGAACGTAGAATATAAATACATTTGGGAACCTTTGAGTATACTTGGTGGTAATGTGTGCTTAGCACATGTGAGACCCTTGTTCAGTCATGAGCGCTGCAGTGCACAGGAACTCACTCAAAGCCTCCCTGCCAGAGAAACATGCAGTTCAGCACGCAGAGCTCACCTCCCAGGCTGTGTTCCTGAGCTCAGTGTGTGTCACGAGCACTGGTCATTGTGCAGCTCTGATGAGACGGACACTAAGTGAAAAGTGATGCTGGCTTCCCGTTCTCACATGTAAACTGCGTGAGATCTGATCTGTGTGACCGATTCCAAACGTGTGCCAGGGGCTGTTCTTCACTGGACTCCCACGCTGTAACTTGATGGTTGATCAGAAATGCTCCTCCCGAAGTACACTCGAATGCATTGGCACAGGAGACCACTTCCTAAATATAACCCCAGCAGCACAGACCCTGAGAGAAACAATTAATAAATGGGACCTCTTGAAACTGAAAAGCTTCTGTAAAACAAAGGACACGGTCAACAAGGCAGCCTACAGAATGGGAAAAGATTTTCACCAACCCCACATCAGACAGAGGGCTGATTTCCAAAATATACAAAGAACTCAAGAAATTAGTCATCAAAAGAATAAATAATCCAATTTAAAAAATGGAGTACAAACCTAAACAGAGAATTCTCAACAGAGGAATCTAAAATGGCTGAAAGACATTTAAAGAAATGCTCAACATCCTTAGTCACCAGAGAAATATAAATCAAAACAACTCTGAGATTCCATCTTACACCTGTAAGAATGGCCAAGATCAAAAACACAGATGACAACTTATGCTGAAGAGGTTGTGGGGAAAAGGGAACACTTCTGCATTGCTGGTGGGAGTGCAAGCTGGTACAACACCTTTGAATATCAGTGTGGCAATTTCTCAGAAAATTAGGAAACAACCTTCCTGAAGACCCAGCAGTACCACTTTTAGGTATATATCTAAAGGATGCTCAATCATGCCACAAGGACATATGCTCAACTATGTTCATAGCAGCTTTGTTTGTCAGAACCTGGAAACAACCTAAATGCCCCTAGACCAAAGAATGGATAAGGAAAATGTGATACATTTACACAATGGAGTACTACACAGCAGAAAAAAATAATGACATCCTGAAATTTGCAGGCAAATGGATGGAGCTAGAAAACATCATTTTGAGTTGAGGTAACCCAGACCCAGAAAGACAAATATTTCATGAACTCTCTCATAAGTGGTTTTTAAACATAAAACCAGCCTACAAATCACAATTCCAGAGAACCTAGACAATAATGAGAACCCTAAGAGAGACATACATGGGTCTAATCTACATGGGAAGTAGAATAAGACAAGATCTCCTGAGTAAACTGGGAGCATGGGGAACATGGGAGAGAGTAGAAGGGGAAGGAGAAGAAAGAAGGGGAACAGAGAAAAATGTATAGCTCAATAAAATCAATTTAAAAAAAGAAAAAAAAAGAATTTTTCTGGCACCCGTGTACATAATGGGATGAGAAAGTGGGTAAGATAGTATGCCCAGGGTTTTCTTAAACACCTAGCATAGCCTAATGGCATCAAAAATTACATAAGAATTGCTAAAGTTCATTTGACAAATGAAATAAATCAGGCTGTATTTCCAGCAACTGATCATAGCACAGTGCAATCAGTAAGTTATGCAAGAAGGAATTTCACATTTCACCCAGCTTAAAATCTGGATAAATAAATTGCTTTGTTATCACAGGTTTTGTTTTTTCATTAATATTATGTAGATGTATTTAAGAAATAAATATCATACAAGATTAAATATGATAGCATATATACTTGTCTACAGTAAAGAGGTCATCATTGCACTACAATCACAAGAAAGTTTCCTAAATAAAAATCAAACATATTAAAAATGATACCAGTCACAACTGGTTTGACTCAGGATATCCATGTTTGTCTCTACCTTACTACTCTCTGTGGTTAGCTTTAATTTATTTAAGGGATGATGGAAGGCTGCTGTCTACACTAGCAAATAGTAGAATGTTAGTCCATAGTCTCATAACTAAGAATCTTTGTGAATAATAAAATATATAAATACGTGAAAAAAGAAATGCCCCTCTCATGATTAAAACCTTGTTGGCCTTGCTGGAGTCCACTGGTGCCTCTGTCCAAGGAGAAAGGAAGAAAGGATTAAAGCCCACAGCAGATGATTTTGCTATAAAAAAAAATAAAATAAAACTTGCCAGCCAGGTGGCCAGTGTATCCTGTGTGCTTTATCTTCCATGCCTTTATTTCCTGTATGCTATATGATTGAAACCCATTATGACTAAAATCAGGGCTGGGGAGCCGGCTCAGTGCTTAAGAGCAGTGTCTGCTTGCTCCTTAGAGGACTCAGGTTTCAATTCTTAGTACCTGTATGAATGCTTCCCTGCTGCTTCAGGCCCAGGGGATCTGACACCCTCTTCTGGTCTCCGGAGGCACTGCATACACATAATGGGTGGACACACTTGCAGCCACAATAGTCATACACATAAAAATAAATAGTTTAAGAGAAAAAAAGAATGATTATAACCTTAATAGCTAGATGTCCACTTAGATAAAAATCAAACTAGTATAAAAATAAATACAACACACTTTATTGTGGTTTAGCCATTTAAATGGACTTGAAGGTTATGCTTGGCAAGGTCCTCCTTCATTTCTGCATTACTGCATAAGATTTTAATGTGTAGAATATTACCATACAGTAATTACCACACAGCTGTTGTTGGATGTATGTTAGCTATTCAGGAGTAGAGCAGCTGTGTTGATAAAATGTGATCCCATCCAGTTTTCTTGCTAAGTTCATAGGCGTAGCACCCCAAAGTATTGATTTTTGTCAGACAACAATGACTAAGAGAACAGAAGTGCTACTTTGTATATAAAGGCTAGTGTGTTCATAGTGTACCAGCCAGTATTTCAGTCAGATAACCATAATAGTGTGTGTGTTGTGCATGTGTGCATGCATGTGGGAACAAGTGTGTATGTTGGTGCTCATATACAAGTTTTTGGGGAGGCCAGAAATTAGCATTGGGCATCTTCTTCTGTATCTCTCCATCTTATTTTTGAGACAGGGTCTCTGCTAAAGCTAGATCTCACAGACTCAGCTAGATCAGCTGGCCAGCAAGCACCAGGGATCCTCCTCTATGCCCTCCCCCAACCCTGCTCTGGGGTCACAGGAGTCTAGCAGGTGTGATTATTTGACATGACCAGGGACTGAACGTCAATCCTCACGCTTGCACATCAAATGCCACTGATCCTTCTCCACTTCCCACCCATGATTAGTCCCTCCTGTGAATTTGTATAACAAATAATGAAAGTTTGTCCTTCCTTTGGCTCACATCTATAATCCCAGCACTGATAAGGCAAAGATGGGAGGATTGCTATAGCATCAGGCCAGCTTGGGCTATCTAAGCTTGGGATGCATAGTGTGTCCTAACCCAGAAGGGCAACAGAATGTATTCATGTCTCAAAAAGAGAAGAAAGAAAATGAGGGATGCTGTTTCTGTCCTCTTCCACCACTCACTCACCAGGTGCTTATGAAATAACCAGAGCACGGTGACCTAGGATGGGAAGATGAAGACAGCCTCAGCCTCGAGCTCAGTGCAGGAGACATGTTAGTCTTAGCACAGTGAAGGTTCAAGCATCATCAGCATCTCAGCACGTTCCAAAAAAGATTTCTTGAAGTCTTACTAGATGTATTAACTGTCTGCAGAGCAGCCCAAACAGAAGTAGGCCCTCAGGGAAGACAGACAAAAAGACACATAGGAATGTGTGAGAGAATGTGCTATATGTGAACTGTGGCTGAGTGACCTAGGAAAGCTTCGCTATGGAGAGGAAGGCATGGTGTCAGAACACATGTGGACTTGCCTTCTCCTAAGATACTGCTATTTTTATCTTCTAGATTGATTTCGGGTTTTTATTTTAGAAACTCATAAGTATTACAGAAGGTGAAATTAGAGACCATCAGTGTCCATGTAAGAGAAGAGGAAGGAAATGACAGAAATACAAAGGACAAAGAGATCCTTAGGAAATAAACTCGCCAAGAGCTAGTAACTAACTGAAGGACTCATTTGCATAGAAGATGTGGCTTATAACTGATAGCACTGTAGGGGATGACTTAACCAAGCTCGTAGTAGGGGATGGCTTGACCAAGCTTGCAGTAGGGGATCAAGTGGGAAGTCAGGGTTGTTGGTGGAAACACAGTATGGCAGTCTGCTGAGCACTGCAGCCGATGTCTGTAAATAGAGAAATCATTGGTGTAAAAGTGGGAACTTGGGTGTTGAAGAGTGTGTAAGTGAAGTGAATATACTGGATAACAGCTATGTTCTTATGAGGAGGGTTGGGAAAGAAGGCAGCAGTGGAGACCCAAGTCATTACAAATACATGGAGAAAACCATTTTTGAAAAATGTATGGAGCTAGGGGCTGGCTTGGTGCTTGAGATTACTGGCTGCTCTTCCAGAGGACCAGTGTTCCATCCTCAGAACCCACATGGTAGTCACAACCCCCTATAATTCCAGTTCCAAGGGATCTAGTGCCCTTTTCTTTAAACAACTCATGTTTTTTAAAAAATATTTTTTCATGTATAGGTGTTTTGCCTATATGTATGACTGGTGCCCAAGAACGTTGTCTTAGATCTCCTGAGTAAATTGGGAGCATGGGGATGGAGAGGGTAGAAGGGGAGTGGAGAGGAAGGGACAGGAGCAGAGAAAAATGTAAAGCTCAATAAAATCAATTAAAAAAAGGGGGGAGAATTTATTGAAATCTCAAAAAAATTGTCGTTTAGATTTGGTAATTAAGAGAAAGCTGGTGGCAGCTTTAGTGTCAGAGAGTAGCACAGTCCCCATTTCAGGGTGTGAGGTCGGAATTGTAGACCATTGTCTTAAATTTAGTCCTGAAGGAAAGAATAAGAAGTTGGCAGTAAGGGGTTTATAAACCAATCTGTGATATTTTTACTTCAGCGATTTTAGTTGAGAAGATGAACAATAACTAATTAGGAATTTTCATACAATTTTGCTGGCCTAAATTTTCAGGGTTTTTTTTTTTTTTGCCTTTAATCTTTAAAAGTAAAACATTAAGAAATATACTGAGGAATTGATGTTATTCTTTGTAAACCAAACTTAATTACTATTGGTAATTCTTTTTAGGATTATGAAAATGTTGAAAATGCTTCAACTCAGTCCAAAGGTGTAAATAAAAAAGATAAGAGGAAGACCCAGCAGGGGAAGGACAGACCTCTCACAGTGTCCCTGAAGGATTTCCAGTGCGAAGGTAAGGTGTGCCTGCCCGCTTCCCCAGAGCTGCGCCGACCTCCTGCTCTGCCTCAGTCTAGTTGATGTGGTACTGGGGGTCAGGCCCAGAAGCTGGCTCGTGCTGGACAGGTTCTACCAATTGATCCTTTTTATAGTCAGGAGTGCTTTTCTGACTTAGGTTAGGTTTACCATGTAGAGTATAAAAATGTAAGCCTGTGTTAGTTTATTTTGTATTCCTTTGGTAGGTAATTTTCAGCAAACAGAAATGCGCTGGCTCATGGGTCAGTGTCGAGGGGCCAGAATCTGTCAGAGTCATGCCTGCTGCTCAAGTAGTAGGAGGCAAAAGAGCCAGAGAGAAAGTGCTGAGTGACTTCCTGAGGAGATGAGGACAGTGTTTGTTCACTCGGGAGAGGGCATCAATAGCAGACCAAAATGACATGAGAGGTCACCTGCAGGAACACTGGTAACTTTTTGACAGCTGCATCACCAGAAGCCACCTCAGCCTGGGTGACAGCTCATAAACACTGCACCCTGAATATCACTGTCCCAAAGACAGGCACCACCCTGAATATCACTGTCCCAATGACAGGCACCACCCTGAATATCACTGTCCCAATGACAGGCACCACCCTGAATATCACTGTCCCAATGACAGGCACCACCCTGAATATCACTGTCCCAATGACAGGCACCACCCTGAATATCGCTGTCCCAATGACAGGCACCACCCTGAATATCACTGTCTAAACTACAGGCAACTCTATCTAAGGCAACTCTGCTGCTTATATAGTCTCAGGGACAGGCCTTGTGAGGCTTCCAGAACTATAGGAATCTCCTTCTTTTCTTTAGGGAATTTTTCCTCTAAGATACTGGTTGTTTCATCTACTTTGTAACTTCCTTGTCTAGCTATTGAATATATTCAGTAATTTTCTTGTTCAGGTCTTAAAGTCCTTATCTTTTGTACCATGAATTCTAGTTGGTCCAAATAATAAAAACTCAGAGTCAGATAAAGAGATTAACCCTGAGAGATCTTAGAAGCACAGCAGCCAGCCACTAGTCCTTACATCTACCTCAGACGAAAAGGGGCAATCCTGTCCCTACAAATTCTCTAACTGAATGCTATCTCTACAAAACCTCAAACTGAATCCGAGCTCCTGTCTCCTCCCACTTTATATTCCTCTCTGCCCAGCCATATCGCTCCTGTCTCCATCTTCTTGGTGCTGGGATTAAAGGTGTGGCATCCCAAGTGCTGGGATCACCTTTGTGTGAGTTCTCTTTCTCTTTTAGACAGATTCAATCTCCTGTAGCCCAGGGTGGCCTTGAACTCACAGAGATCCCTATGCGTCATCACTGCCTGGCCTCCAGTGACTTAGCTCTGCACTCTGATCTTCAGGCAAGCTTTATTTGTTAGAGTATAAACACATTTCCACCACATTTCCCCTTTTTGTCTAAAATAAAAGATTATAACTAATATAAGAAAAGCTATGCAATAAGTACAATAACTATATACAATATATATAGTCTATGAATACATCAACAATGTCTAGTCCATTTGCAATTGACAAATTCAGGGAAAGTACTCCATTTTCTGCCCTAACTTGGTGAACCCAAAGTCTTATACCTAATTAGCTTTCTAGCCTAACTTGCATTACCATTCAAAACTATCTTGATATCTCTCAGTCTTACACTTTACACCTCTTTAGTGAGTTTCTTTTCTGCATCTAGTAAACGAGGAAAACTTTAACTGTCTAGTCTTCAACTCCCTCAGAGACCGAAAAAGGAAATAATATTAACTGAGTAAGCAGGAAGTGCAAACAAGTGACTTCCAAAAAATGTGAGCAATGACAAAAAGAGCTGGCTGCCTTGACAGTCACACAAGGTCGGGGCACACATATTCCGCTTACAGGCCTAGCATATCTGATGGACTTTTTTATGACGCAGTTTTTGAAGGACCGTCCTGCCTTGTCTTGACAAGGTTTGGCAGTCACTCCCTTCTGTATCCTGCTTGTCCATTCAGCACCAGCATACCGTCAGCAGTTGATGGAAGAGCACTTTCTTCCCCAATGGCCTACTATTGCCACAAAGAAAGTAAACTCCATGTGGAGTTTCTTCAGTGCCCATCAACTTCCCTGAAGATGCACCAATCTAGGTGCTGCCAGGAGTGGACATGTCTCATTGTCATAAAAAAAGAACCTATGTTCTTAAAACATCTTAAATGTCATATTCTGTAGATCTCTGAAGTGTTTGAAGGTGACGTATATAAAATATATCTCTGTTTGACCTTATATGACTACAAGTTCGATTGTAATAGATGACTAATTACTAACCTGCATTTCCTTATTATCCTAAATGGTAATAATAACTATGAAAAATCTAAATACATCTTCGAAAACCAGGTTTTCTGTAAAACTAAGAGTAAACTTAGAGAGGTTTTGCTTTCACTTGAGGATCAGGAAAGTTCTTCTGAGGCTGGAGAGATGACTTAGAAGTTGAGTTCTTGCTTCTATTACAGAGGAGCTGAGTTCCAGTCCCAGCACCCATGTCGGGTAGCTCACTACTACCAGTAACTTAGTGTCAGGAGATCTGACTCCCTCTTCTGGTCTCTGTTGGCATTGCACACATGTGGACACAATGCACACATGCACACTGAAATTCTGAAAAGAAGGAAGTTTTCTATAGTCCGTGGTCCTCTTTAATTGTTGCTGCCTTTTAAGCCATGACTACCCTAGTCAGCAACTTCAACTCCACTGCTACCAGCAGCCTGAGGAAATTCTGTTCCCTCAGGCACCCACTCTTTCAAAGCTACTAAGGGAACTTATCTTTATCTCTGTTCCTCTAAAGAACTCAAGATTCAAAGGTTAAGGTAGAGTTCTGCTCCTCAGACAGGGTGAATAGCAAGCAGCTCACCTAGTTTGCTGCCTTGTCCCTCCTTATAAACCCTTCTCCACCTGGCTTCTCCCTACAATTTCTGTCATCCAGTTGCTGACGCAGCCTCCTGACTGCAGGTGAATTTTATTTAATCAAATACATCTTTGCGTCATTAAACAAATGTTCCAGAGCATAAACAAAACAACACAAAAAAACATACCTTAAAATAATATTCTACAACAGTAGTATAAGTAAGTTACTTGGTTTAGGGATGAACCATGCATGTTAAAGTAAAATGTCCAAATTTACCCAGAAGAATCTTTTATATAATAAATTTTGGGTTTATGGAGATAGCTCAGTAGTTAAGGTCAGTTAAGGCAGTAACTGTCTATAGTCACTGTAGTTCCAGGGAAACCAATGCCCTCTTCTGTCCTCCTTGAGCACCACTCGGACACGGCACAGAGACATACATGTGGGCAAAACACCCATGTACGTAGAGTAAGATAATACATTTTTTATCCTTATTTTTATTGTAAGAATATTTTGTCTGTATGTGTATCTGTTCACCACATATCTGCCTGGTCCCTGTGGAGGTCAGAAACAGGCATCAATCCCCAGGCACAGGAGTTACAGGTGACTGTAGATGCTAGGAATCCAACCCAGGTCCTCTGCAAGAACAACCAGTATTCATAATCACTGTGCCATATCTCCAGCCAAAACCTTTTGAAAAAGAAATTTTATTAAAATTTAGGCAGAAGTGTACTTGCTAGGGGTTGGGGATGCTTCTCACTTGGTAGTGGGCTTGTCTGCCATACAGGAAACTCTGAATTTGATTCCTAGCACCACGTACAGTGAGTTCCACAGGATGCTCCTGTGATACTAGCGCTGGAGAGGTGGAGGCAGGAAGGGAAGTTCAGTTTCATCCTCAACTGCATAATGCATTGGAAGTCAACCTGGAATACATAAGACAAAATACATGTTCAAAATACTTTTCTGAAACTCCTGTTTTCTGTGTGTTTGATTTCTCAAGTTGTAGGCAAACTTATTAGCTCACTGAGAGGATAGAAAGGTAAGCTACATACGTTTTCAAGCTGTGATGGCCACAGTGGTGCTTTCCCCTGGGTGAAGGCATCATACTGCTGAGCAGAGCATACCAGAAGAAAGATCATTTGGTAGTTTTAATGTAAATCAGTGACTTTGATATTGAACATGTTTTATACTGTTCTGACAAACAAATGATGTAGAAAAGGAGACCAGCTTTCAAATTGTTGGTCATAAAAAAAGCTAGTCTGGAACTGTGGTGGCGCACACCTTTAATACCAGCCCTCAGGAGGTAGAGGTAGGCAGATCTTTGAGTCAGGGCCAGCCTGGTCTACAGAGTGAGTTCCAGAACAGCCAGGGTCACACAGAGAAACTCTGTCTCAAAAAACAAAAACAAAAGAATTCTGTCAGGTTGTTCTTTGAGAGGGGATAAATGTTTGTATACAAGAACATTATATACAATGTTAACCTCATTACCCTGACTCATGCAAGTACTTACTGTTCCGGTCACCCTTACATCCCAGTATTTGGTCCTGCTTGTGCCTCAGATTAAGCTGTTCCTCCCTCACCCTGTTCTCGGTCACTCCTACCTAGAAGGGCTGTCTGGGGGTTTCTTGTCCATGGTTTGTTTCATGTGTAATTTGTTACCGTTCCATTGATAAATCCTGTAAATGCACATCTGTACATATGTACTATAAATCCTGTAAATGCACATCTGTACATATATACTATAAGTCCTATGAATGCACATCTGTACATATGTACTATAAATTCTGTAAATGCACATGTGTACTATAAATTCTATAAATGCACATGTACTATAAATCCTGTAAATGCACGTTTATATACATGTATTATAAATTCTATAAATGCACATCTGTATATATGTATTATAAGTTTGCTAAGGATTTCATTACAGTGCAAGCAAATAACCATCTGTATCTTTAAAATAATATAGCCAACAGCTTTTAAGGACATCAAATGTTTTTTTATTTTATTTAACAAAGACAGTCATCTGAACATTTTCAGTTAATAGTTCTCTGATTTGATTTTTGACATAGCTATATCTATATGACATAGAACTGAGATATGTATTAAACTCACATGCTTAAAATCTAGTAACATCCCTCCATGTGGTAGCATCTCCTAAGATATAAGATGTAGTCCTGGAGCTGAACAAACCAGCCGGTCTGTGCTGGATTTTAACATTCTGAAAGTAAATCAGATGTGAATCTTAGAAAACTCTGTTTATAACTCTTCACAATTTTAACATTCTTTTGGATACTTTGGGTTTTTTACATGCTGAAATATTTGTTAATTCTTCCCAGTAAAACTTTTCTTTTTTCGTTTGCAGATCATAATAGTAAAAAGACAGAGGTAAGTTTCCCTGTGATTGTCCTGTAGTCTAGAACACACTGAAGAGTAGTACTGTAGTGATTAGCAGTAAATCTGTTCTGGAGACAAAGGTTTGTCTCATTATGTTTCTGGTTTTATAAGGATATAAATACAAGAGAATAAAAGTGATTATTTGCATAAACTAGTTTCATTTGGTATTACTGTCCTAATCTGTGTCTAATATATAAATTTAAAATCAAAGAAGTGATTTAGTCTCAAAATGTATATTTTATTTTTTGTATTAGTATTACTAGTTTTTGAGACATGGCTTTTCTGTGTAGCTCTGGCTGTTCTGGAACTCATTCTGTAGACCAGACTGGCCTCAAATGCAGAGATCCACCTGCTTCTGCCTCCCAATTGCTGGGATTAAAAGTGTGCCACTACCTGGTGCTAATTTTTGTGTTTGTATTGTGTTCATTTTTTTTGTTTTGGGGAAGGCATGTGTGTTCACAAGTGTGTGTGCATAGGTGTTCATGTGTGTGTGCTCATGCATGCGTGTACATGGTTATGTGTAGAGGTCAGGAAACAAGTGCAGATGTTGTTTCTTAGTTGCTGTCCACCTCTGTGGACCCACATGGTGAGGAGAACTGACCCTTACAGCTTGTCACCTGACCTCTGCATGTATCTTGGTACACATGCCACCCTACATGTGGCACTCAGAGAAAGGCTTATCCTTCTAAGTGTGGTGACACAAATTTATAGATCTCAAACTGGGAGGCAAAGGCAGGGGAGTTCAGTTTAAGGCAAGCCTGAGTTGTATAACAAGACCCTGTGACTCAAAACCAAAACAACAGAAAAATCCAAAAAATGTTGGCAAGGGGTCTCAACACATGAAGGTGCTTGCTGCCAAGCCTGACAACTGAAACTGATCCTCGAGACCAGGTGGTGGGAGGAAGGAAATGACTAGTGCATCTGTGGTGGCTCATGTGAGGAACACTGTTAGGTGGCTGCTGCTTGGAATATGTTACAAATGCTTGATTAGTGGGGGAGTAGCATGTCTAAATGGACCATTGTGAAGATTGTTTATTGTAGTGCATTAAGAAATGTTTAAGTTATAGAGCTGAATGTTAAGGGGTTACATGGAACCCTTAGAAATCAGAAAATGTTAGGCTCAAGAGATGCTCGGTGGTGGAGTGTCACAGTGCAGTCCTGAAGGCCTGGGTTCAGCTTGATTGACATGAAACAAGCTCCAGGACACAGGAAATTACAGAGAAGGATGCCTGATGTCCAGTTGTGCAGACCACTCAAACATACAGAGATACATTGTAGATGAGAATCTTACATAAGTGTTGGTATTTATGTGTGATACCAGGCCTACCCTTTATCTTACCCAAGAAAAGGCTAGAATAAATCCAGAGGTTTATCTTTAGTAGAATACTTATTTTAGGATAATTAGACAGAGGTTTGTGAAATAATGATACAATTTAAGGATAAACAAAACTAAGTGTGCTCAAAATAGTGCTTAACCTAAACATAAGTCAAGCCTTAAGAGGGCTCTCTATGCTACATGAGGTTCAGGGCTCAGATATATAAGTGAGACGATGCCTAAAAGAAGCACTTGAGCAGCTGGAGATGTTGCTGATGACAGAGCATTTGTCTGCTGTGAATAAGGCCCTGTGTTGATTCCCAGCAAATCTGGGGAATGGGCTTTTTGTCCAACAACTCACCTGTCTCTCCAACAAGACCATGTGAAGAAAAAGTGGGTTGTGTTCTAGGTTAGAGGAGACTTGAGAGATCACCAGCTGTAATGTGCAGGCCGTATTCAGATTATGCCATGGTGTCCCTAATGCAGAATACCTAAGCCAAGAAGTGTACAGGTGAGATAAAACACACAGAAGGAAGTTACATTGTGTAGTGCTGTTGCCTAATAACAAAGAGAGAGGTTGAGAAACACTCAATTCAGGGTCATGGTTACTTTGTGGAGGCGAGAAGATGAGTGTGGGAGACTGCAAAGGGCACAGGCACAGGTATGTCATGCTCCAGTTTTCAAGAGAAAACGGAGTCATGGGTGGCATTTTTGCAAGCAGTTTTACTGACTGGCAGTGTAGCTCATAGGAAAGCAATTGCTGCCAAGCCTGAAGATTTCAGTTCATTCCCTGGGCCCACATAACAAGAGTACTAACTCTTTCAGAAAACAAGTTCTCTGGCTTCTACTCCCATCAGTAAACAAAATATAATTTAAAATGACAGCTTTATTGAGTTAATAGAATTTGTATCAAATTTACCATTGCATGTATAAGTCATGAACAAAGACAGATAGACGAGAATCAACTGGGATCTCAGATATATTAAGCAGTTGCTTTACCATTGAGCTAAACTCCCAGTCCCATTTGTAGTGTATTTAAGGAGTTATATGGCCATACTCACAGTATAGATTTAAATTTTTTTATAATCCCCCAGAGGTTCCTTATACTCTCCTCTTAAGTCCCTAGCAATATTCTGGTTTTTTTATTTCTACAGATTTGCATTTTCTCTGTGTGGTCTTTTATGATTGACTTTTTCGCTTGGCATAGTGTTTTTAGGTTGATTTGTGTTGTAGTTATCAGTAGTTCATTCAGCTAGACATAGTTACACACTGTAGCCCAACACTGAGGAGACAAGGCCATCCTGGTCTATAATTCCACGCCAGCCTGCGCTACAGAGTGAGACCCTGTCTCAGACAAGCAAATAACAATTGATTTAGTTTTATTGCTGAACATTGTGGAAATATTTTGTGTTCAGTTATAGACTAGCGATAATATCTATGTGGTTTTGTGTTTTTATTTCTCTCTAGGGATGAAATTGCTAGGCTGTGTAATTTATTTTTTCTTATTTGCAGAGATAGGCATTAAAAATATTTGCCTCTTTGTAATGTCCTGGGTCTCAAGCCCAGGGCCTTGAGCAGCTAGGCAAGCATGCACTACTAAGTTACATTCGAAGACTTCTTAGCTTTTCAAGCATGATCTTACTAAGATACCTAGGCTGACTTTGAACTCTCTGTATCTCAGGCAAGTCTTGACATGGTATCGTGCTTTAGCCTTGCACTATCTGGGATAGTAGGCCTGCATCAAGGAGTCCTGGTTGAAACAGTTCAGAGCCTGTTAGGTTGTTTTAAAGAAAGGTGTGTGAGAAGTTCTGGTTTCTATACATCCTTGCCAACACCTAGTGCTGTCTCTAAGTGGGAAGGTAACGTGTTCACTGAATTTCACTAATAGTGTCTCTAAGTGGGAAGGTAACGTGTTCACTGAATTTCGCTAATAGTGTCTCTAAGTGGGAAGGTAACGTGTCCACTGAATTTCACTAATAGTGTTTCTAAGTGGGAAGGTAACATATCCACTGATACTGTCTCTAGTGGGAAGGTAACATATCCACTGAATTTCACTAATAGTGTCTCTAGTGGGAAGGTAACATGTCCACTGAATTTCACTAATAGTGTCTCTAAGTGGGAAGGTAACGTGTCCACTGAATTTCACTAATAGTGTTTCTAAGTGGGAAGGTAACATATCCACTGATACTGTCTCTAGTGGGAAGGTAACATATCCACTGAATTTCACTAATAGTGTCTCTAAGTGGGAAGGTAACGTGTCCACTGAATTTCACTAATAGTGTTTCTAAGTGGGAAGGTAACATATCCACTGATACTGTCTCTAGTGGGAAGGTAACATATCCACTGAATTTCACTAATAGTGTCTCTAGTGGGAAGGTAACGTGTCCACTGAATTTCACTAATACTGTCTCTAAGTGGGAAGGTAACGTGTCCACTGAATTTCACTAATAGTGTCTCTAGTGGGAAGGTAACGTGTCCACTGAATTTTAGTTGGATCTTCATGATGCCTAATGGGTATGTTTTCATGTGCTCGTCAGAATTCTGGTATCATCTTTGAACAGTCTTCTTAACTCGTTTTGCTTGTTCTAAGTGTGTTTTATGTGTGTGTCATTCAGAAATACTAAGGGGCTAAATTGTTTTGGGGGATAGGAACACTGGCAAGAGGAACCACAATCAGAAGATGGTAGGCATGGTGAGCATGCCCTTGATCCCAGCACAGGGGGCGGGTCTGCATCCAAGGCCTGCACAGCTGCAGGGTGAGTAGTGAGATCTGTCTCACACAGGGCACTGATCGCTAGTGTAAATCCAGAGCTGGGCTGGTTGTCATCAGCCTGTTGATCCTTCCATGGAAGCTCAGCGCTGTTTTATGCTGTAAATGAGATCTTACCAGAACATAGTGGAGGTGCTTTATGAAGCAAACTTGGAATTATGTCTGTGCCACTTGGTGATGGCTCCAGGGCATTCCAGGCCTTGATAGCTCTGCCGGCCTCTCCTGGTGTTTAGAAAACTCAGGTAAATCAGTGTCTTAGTGCTCTGTAGAACATGAAGTTTTCTTCAGGTAGCTAGAAGCTATCTCATTTGTACTGATGTACAAGTAAATTTCCATTTCAACATTTCACTTCCTTAGGTGTTATGGAGGTAAAGCAGTGAGCAGCCATTTAACTGTGTGTCACTGTCTATAAATCCAGTCGAATCTGGTAAAACTCAGTACTGTAGCCTAAGAGCACGGATTGAGGGGAGACCTGTGGGACAGGAGAATTTCCTTTAGTCTCTGTGCTTGATAGCAAGAGGGAAAATCCTATTTCTATTAGAGAATGTGTAAACTCTCCAAGTCTAAGTAATTTGATAGATGGTGTTAAAATCACATCTCTTTAATATATTTATTTATATGCACAGTTTATGTCAAAATGACTTTTTTTGTTTTGTCTTGTTTTGGTTTTGGTTTTTCAAGACAAAGTTTCCCTGTGTAGCCCTAGCTGTCCAAGAACTTGCTTTGTAGACCAGGCTGGCCTCAAACTCATAGAGATCTGCCTGCCTCTCCCTCCTAATGCTGCAGTTAAAGTGTGCACCACCACCACCTAGTGTCAAGATGACTTTTAAGGGCTGGAGAGATGGCTCAGTGGTTAAGAGCATTGCCTGTTCTTCCAAAGGTCCTGAGTTCAATTCCCGGCAACCACAACAGTCTATTTGTAATGAGGTCTGGTGCCCTCTTCTGGCCTGCAGACATACACACAGACAGAATATTATATACATAACAAATAAATAAATAAATATAAAAAAGACTTAAATGTAGCACAAAACAACGCAAACACATCGCTGTAGTAATCAAGTCAGTTTGACACTGAGAATTGAGTCTTGAGAATGGACGTAGAGGCTGGTGGAATTGAGTCCAGAAATAAGCCTTGATATCTGTGTTTTCTTGATTTTTTTTTTTGAGTATGAGTGCCAAGACAATTCAGTATGGAAAAATTTGGGTGTATTCTGCACATCATACACAGAAATTAACTCAATGCGGATCACAGAAGTATGTATGTAAAACCTAAAACCGCCAGGTGGTTGTGGCACATGCTTTCAATCCCAGCACTCGGGAGACAGAGGCAGGTGGATCTCTGTTAGTTTGAGGCCAGTCTGGTCTACAAGAGGTAGTTCCAGGACAGGCTCCAAAGCTACAGAGAAACCCTATCTCAAAAAACTAAGAAATAAAAAGCAACTAAAACTTTTGTATTATATAGAGGGCATAAAACACTTGGTAAAGCAACCTTTAATGAGGGAAAATATTTAGAAATAATGTTTGATGAGATGTTTATTTAAAATACATAAGTTTTTGTATGCGTACATGTTCATGTATGTGTGCATGTGTGTGTTTCTGGGGACCAAAAGTCAATGCCCAGTGTCTTCCTCAGTTGCTCTTTATCTTGTTAATGTATTGACAAGGGTGTCAAACCCATTTATTACTGTATTGAGGGAGTGTCAAACCCTTTTATTATTGTATTGAGGGGGGTATCAAACCCTTTTATTCACAGACTTGAGAATGGGAGGGGACAAAGAGGTTCACAAAATCAGATGTCCTTCGGAAGACAGGTCTTTGGCCCTCTGTCACTAACCAGGATTGTATGCACTTGTCACCATGATCAGCTTCTTAGACTACTTCAATGATTTCTGTTAGACCTTTATTTATATAAATATGCATATATGTCTGGGGACGTGTCTGAGGGATAGATTGTGCACATAAATGCAGAGACCAGAAGCTGGTATCAGATCCCCTGGAGTGGGAGTTAGAGGCTGTGTGAGTCACCCAGAGTGGGTGCTGGGAACTGAGCTCAAGGCAGTACACACTCTCAACCATGGAACTCTCTCTCTCGCCAGAAGACAGACATTCTTATAACACGAAAGTGAGTAGGCAAATAACTCAGTTAAAAATGAGTAAAGGTTCGAAGTAAACATTTCTCACACAGACTGTACAGTGTCTAGTAACACTTGAAAGCAGCCTGCTCTAATAGCCATAGTGAAAACACAGCTCAAAACCCTGGAGAAATAGTTCACTTCCAGGAGGGTGTCTGCAGTAAAAATACAATAACATAGGTGAGAATACAGAAATCAGAACTGCCTCATGTTGTTGACAGGATTGTAAAATAGTAAACTGCTTGGAGCACACTAGCTTTTAAAATTTCAGATGGTTAAACATAAGCTCTGCACACCACCCAATAACCTTACTCCTAGGTGTATGCCAAACAGAGTTGGAAACAGGTCCATAAACATCTTGTGGATAAATATTCATAGCAGCGTTATTCATAAGACCAAAGAGATATCTATCCACCAGTGACAAGAAAAAATGTAAAATGGGATATTACTTGGTAATAAAAATGAAGTACTAATCCATGTCATCACGTGGAAGAATCTTGTAAACATATTGGTAGTTCAAAGAAGTTTGAGACAGATAGCACAATTACTCTGTTTATATGAAATGTCCAAAATAGATAGGTTTATAGAGACAGAAAGTGAGTGTTGCCTAGGGTGGAGAAGAGTGTCAGGTGTCTGTTGGGTGTACAGCTCTCGAGAGGACATTAAACCTGGGTCTTTCACATACTAGCAGACTGAACTGTGTGGTATGTGTAATAAAATCTTTAAAGGCCAAGTAGCCTGGACATGATGTTACAGATCTGTGGTTTCAGCATGCGAGAAGTTGAGGCAGGAGAATCACAAGTTCCAGACTAGTCTGTACTCTGTAGTAAGACCCTGCCTCTAAAACCTGTCAATCATGACACTCCAAAATACGAAGGACTAAGAAAAAGACAGGTGCAAGTGTCCGTCTGCTGCTTCCCTTCCAGAGACAGAGCGGTGATCTGACTCCTGCTGGTCAGTCCCTTTCACTGTCCTCTGAGAGACTCAGGGTTGAGTATGTGCATTGGTGTGGAATGGTAGTGATTCATGATTTATTTCGACAGGAATCGAATTCTTCTCAGACTTTGTCACATGATGGGGGATTCTTCAATAGACTGGAAGATGATGTTCATAAGATTCTTATTAGAGAAAAGAGAAGAGAACAGCTTACAGAACATAATGGAACAGAGAATTGTCCAGCTCCTGAGCACAACCAGGCATGTAAAATAAAATTCTCTCTCTCTCCTTAATTAAATCACTGCTTGGCCCATTAGCTCTAGCTTCTTAAAAATTCTCTTAAAATCACAGAGAAGTTATCTTTTGAAAGAAAGAAAGAAAATGGAAGATTTCAACTCTAATTGTACAAAGTAACAGTTTTAGGGTATTATCTTAGTCATCATTCTGCAAAGAATAATGTGCATGTGCAGTTACGTCACTAACGATGTGGATCTTGTGCATGTGCAGTTACGTCACTAACGATGTGTATGTGTATGTGCAGTTACGTCACTAACGATGTGTATGTGTATGTGCAGTTACGTCACTAACGATGTGTATGTGTATGTGCAGTTACGTCACTAACAATGTGTATGTGTATGTGCAGTTACGTCACTAACAATGTGTATGTGTATGTGCAGTTACGTCACTAACGATGTGGATCTTGTGAATAATGTGTATGTGCAGTTACGTCACTAGCAATGTGGATCTTGTGAATAATGTGTATGTGGAGTTACGTCACTAGCGATGTGGATCTTGTGAATAATGTGTATGTGCAGTTACGTCACTAGCGATGTGGATCTTGTGAATAATGTGTATGTGCAGTTACGTCACTAGCGATGTGGATCTTGTGAATAATGTGTATGTGCAGTTACGTCACTAGCAATGTGGATCTTGTGCTGCACTGTGTAGTTAGGAGCTGGTGCTGGAGAGGGCAGCAGAACTGCGCTGAGTATGTAAATGTGATTAGATGACCTGGCGGCATTGTGCTGTAGAAAGCCTGGATGACAGTGGGATGTGACTGAAAGAGAACAGGTGTTGAAGTCAAATATTACATATAAAAATATTAGCATTGCAACTCATCTGCTATACTGTACTGAAACATACTTGTTTTTTTATTAGGAATTAAAAATTACAATTTTAAATAATTAATATAGGAGTATGTGTACATAATATATATTTAATAGATAATTGTTTTGTGTCAATAAAACAATAAAAGAGTCATGAGTACAAAAATAGTAGGTGCATTAGTGCAATAGGAATGGGTTCTGGAGAGAAGTGAACATTTGAGGTGGAAGATAACAGGCCAGAAGGATCTGAACATGCAAAGATGAGGATAAAGAAGCTAAAATGTCTTCAGTAAAAATACAGACACAGTGAAATAGAAACCAGCTCAATTAAAGAGAGTGTTGACCAAGTTTGATAAGGTAGATTGGAAAGAACTGTGGGACACTCAAAGCCAAGTTTGTAATTTAGTTTGTAGACAGGAAAGAATTCAGGAAATATTTGAGCAGAATAAATTTTTATATAGTACTAGTTATTTTATTGCAGAGCCTAAGAACAACTGAAGGGATATGAAGAGTGTGCATGGGGCTAGGTGACATCTCGAGGAGACGGGCTAGCAGGCACACTAGGTGACATCTCGAGGAGACGGGCTAGCAGGCACACTAGGCAGAGTGAAGATTGGTGTAGCCGTTTGGAAAACAGTGTGGCACTATCTTTTAAATCCGAGGCTAGCTGATGGACATGATTTATGCTGTAGTCATTCTTTCTATTTTTTTTTTTTCCGAGACAGGGTTTCTCTGTGTGTAGCCCTGGCTGTCCTGGAACTAGCACTGTAGACCAGGCTGGCCTCGAACTCACAGAGATCCGCCTGCCTCTGCCTCCCGAGTGCTGGGATTAAAGGCGTATGCCACCATGCCTGTGTGCTGTAGTAATTTTATACATGATTTTATATAAAAGTCAGTTGTTTATAAAAGCAAATTCAGTCAGACTGAATGGACTGTACCTGTAGATAACAACACACACAGCAACTTTTTAAAATACACTGTATAATGAGAAAAGTCACTAGATAATAGTTCAGTGAGATTAGTATATATATTAAAAATGAGCCAGATGTGGTGTCCCAGCTGTGTAACCTCAAGAGATGTCTTCTGACCTCCTTTCATGTGTGCCTGAAAGCATAGGCATGTATGAACACACACACATAATAAATAATACCAGATTTGCACACATGATACCAGATTGAGAATACCTCCGTGCAAGCCACTGAAGTTTTTAAGAAAAGCAGAGTAAGCCGGGCGGTGATCGCGCACGCCTTTAATCCCAGCACTCGGGAGGCAGAGGCAGGCGGATCTCTGTGAGTTCGAGGCTAGCCTGGTCTACAAGAGCTAGTGCCAGGACAGGCTCCAAAGCTACAGAGAAACCCTGTCTCGAAAAAAACTTTAAAAAAAAAAAGAAAAGAAAGCCGGGCGGTGGTGGCGCACGCCTTTAATCCCAGCAGAGGCAGAGGCAGGCGGATCTCTGTGAGTTCAAGGCCAGTCTGGTCTACAAGAGCTAGTTCCAGGACAGGAACCAAAAGCTACGGAGAAACCCTGTCTCGAAAAATCAAAAAAAAAAAAAGAAAGAAAGAAAGAAAGGAAAAGAAAAGAAAAGCAGAATAAGGAAAAAATAGATTCTGTTCCAAAGAGAGAGCGAAACAGCCTTGGAAACCCACAAAAGAAATCAAAGGAGCCTGGAAGGCACTAGACACAGGCAGCACAGAGAGCCGAGGGACCAGCCTCCCACTTAGCCTGTCAGGGAGGAGAGAAGGCTGAGGGAAAAAAAATCCACACCCGCCCCAGTTAGGAAGATAGCCACACTAACAGGTGGGAAATCACAGAAACTCAGGACCCTTCGGTGAGATGGGTACAAAGCCAAACAACTATTTCAAATGTTTTCAGAAAAACGAAGAGTGACCTTTGTCTTGCTTGGGTTTAACTCGTGAGCTCAAGTAGTCCTCTGGTATTAGCCTCATCGTGTCACACCCAACACCAAGTCATCTGTGCCCTCTCCCACAGGACACTGCACAGCAGCTTCTGCCTTGGCTTCCGTGTATCGTGCACTTTATGTGAAGTTCCCATGCTATGCTAGACATGTTTCATAGGAACAAAAAAGGGTTTCAGTCTTTTTCCCTGGCACCTAGAAACTACTTATGAGCACCTGTGTACATCTCTCTTTAGGAAAATACAACCAGTTAAATTCCTCAGAGCAGAACCCGGCCTGATGGCACACACCTTAATCCCAGTGCTCAGGAGGCAGAGGCAGGCGAGTCTCTCAAGCTCAATGCCAGCCTGATCTGCAGAGTTCCAAGACAGCCAGAGCTGTGTAGAACCTGTCAGGGTGCCTCTGCATGTGTTTATTCTAGGACGGAATTGTCGATTCTAGGGCTGGATATTGTTGTACGTATACTTAGAGCTCGTCATAGAAATCTCACCTGCTATTACTGTATGAAACTAGGATCATGTACTTGAGCAAAGGTAAAAATGTAGTAATTAAAAATTGCCTAAGAAATAAAGTCTAGCCGGGCAGTGGTGGCGCATGCCTTTAATCCCAGCACTCGGGAGGCAGAGGCAGGCGGATCTCTGTGAGTTCGAGACCAGCCTGGTCTACAGAGCGAGTTCCAGGACAGGCTCCAAAGCCACAGAGAAACCCTGTCTCGAAAAACCCCCCAAAAAAAAAAAAGAAAGAAAAAGAAATAAAGTCTATTTTTCCTCTTAATCTTTTCACAAAGGACTGTTGTAAACAATGATAGGTTGGACAATATCGGTCAAAAGCAGTATTTTTCTTTTTTTTCAGGAAGTGGGTCTGAAAGATGGAAGAATTGAGAGACTGAAATTAGAACTTGAGAGGAAAGACGCTGAAATTCAGAAACTCAAAGCTGTAATCACCCAGTGGGAGGTGTGTCCACTCACTTCTGGAAAGAATTCTGTATTTGCATTCTGTGGGTTCTGTATGTATTTATTATTCAGTTACTCTGCTATTCAGTCTTTTAAACTGACTATCCACTTAAATTCTGAATAATGGTATAAATTTTGTTATAAAATATATATTGTAAAATATGTTGTATGTTATATGCAGGCAGCTTTGTAAACTATTTTAAGCACGAGGTTCAGTAGCATTAAGTTTATTTAGCTACTTGTTCTTTGTTTTTTGAGACAGGGTTTCTCTGTGTAACCTTTACTGTCCTCACTTTGTAGACCGGGCTGGCCTCAAATTCAGAGGTCAGCCTGCCTCTGCCTCTGAAGTGCTAGAATTAAAGGCTCAGTAGCACTAAGAACCTTTTCACTGTTGGGTGACCATTCCTGCTGTTCCCTTCCAGAAACTCTCCATTAAATCGCTCACTATTCCCACCCTTCACCCCCTAACAACAATTTATCTCTAGGAATTACCTGTTCCTGATCCCTCGTTCTGGTAGGATCACACAGTTTTTGTCCATTTCTATCTGGCTTATTTCTTTTAACATAGAAGTTTTCTGAGCTTTCTCTGTGTTGTAGCGTTTATCAGAACTCCATTCCTTGTCCTGCCTTATTACATCCTCTGAAGTATACGTGCTACGTTTTGTGTGTGGGTGCACAAGTAAGTGTCCAGGATCCTGCTTTGAGTTCTTTGAGTATTTTGAAAATCTACAAGTAGAATTGCTGGTTATAGGATAATTCTGTCTTAGCTTTTATGTGACTTCCAAGCGTTCTCAGAGCAACTGTTTGTTGTCCTTTTGACCAGAAGTGCACAGGGATTCCAACTTCTCCACACCCTTGCTAATGCTATGTATGAATTGTTTTCTCTTAAAGATTAATTTTAAATTTTTATTTGTATATGTGTGTGCTTGTATACATGCACATATGTGTTGAAGTACCAGTGGAACGCAGAAGATTTCAGATGCCCTGGAGCTGGAGTTAAGAGGGTCCTCTGCAAGAGCAGCAAGGACTCCTGCCCTTACAATTGTTTTAATCACAAACTTATGAGGCACTCTCTTGCTACTGCCCTTTAGACTTCAACAAAGATGCTCCAGTTCCTCAAGAATCATTTGTCTTCTGATCAATGTTAGTCCACGGATTACTTACCGAGAGCCCGTGGGGAGCCAGGGTTCTGGCGCTGGTGTGTGCCAGAACTTAAAATAGTTTACAAAGCTGCCTGCATATAACATACAACATATTTTACAATATATATTTTATAACAAAATTTATACCATTATTCAGAATTTAAGTGGATAGTCAGTTTAAAAGACTGAAGAGCAGAGTAACTCATTCATCTCAAATTTTTACTTTTTTTGTTTTTTGTTTGTTTTTTCGAGAAAAGATTTCTCTGGAACAGCTGTCCTAGAGCTAGTTCCATAGAATAGGCAGACCTCAAACTCACAGAGATCTGCCTCCGAAGTGCTGGGATTAAAGGCATGCGCCACCATTGCCCGATTCATCTCAATTTCTTAAGCATTTTTACTCTCTTTGTATTTACTATAGCAGACGCTTCAGTTCCCTGTGTGGACTACAGTATTACTCAGTAAATAATTATTATCAGCAATTTAATTGGATAGAGTACTATTTAGTAAAAAATCACTTTTTATAGAATTTAAAACATATTTAAAGCCAGGCGGTAGTGGCCCATGCTTTAAATCCCAACACTAGGGAGGCAGAGCCAAGTGGATCTCTGTGACTTTGAAGCCAGCCGAGTATACAGGACAGCCAGGGCTGTTGCACAGAGAAACCTTGTCTAAACCCGCCCTCCTCAAATAATAAATAAAAATAAAATATATTTAAATCCACTGGGTTCTGGCATCATTCAGTGGTAGCTCCTTGCTTTGTGTATTTGGTGAGGCCCTAGGTTGGACTCCTGCACTATAGAAATAAAAAATAAAACTGGTAAATCTTCCACATACTTGTTCCGTGTTGAGAGAAAAAAAAGGGAGAGGTTTTTTACACTGATATTTTTAGGCATTTATTTTTTATAACATTTTATATTGTTTTCAATAATTGGTTATTAGTGTTTGAAAGTATTTCAAAATACTAAAAGAAATGTTCCAGCCAGGCTGTGGTGGTGCATGCCTTTAATCCCAGCACTTGGGAGGCAGAGGCAGGTGGATCTTTGTGAGTTTGAGGCCAGCCTGGCTGTAGAAGGAGCAGCGGGCTACATTCCTGCTGCCCAGCTCCCGGCCGCCTGGCTAGCTTTACCCAAAATAATTACACGGAAACTGTATTCTTTTAAACACTGCCTGGCCCATTAGTTTTAGCCCCTTATTGGCTAATTCTCACATCTTGCTTTAACCCATATTTAGTAATCTGTGTACCGGGAAGATTCTAACATGTGTCCATCTCGGAGAGGAGAGCTATGGCGTCTTCCTCATTGCTTTCTTCCCAGCATTCTGTTCTGTCTACTCCACCCACCTATGTTCTGACCTATAAGGCCAAGCAGTTTCTTTATTAATTAACCAATGAAAGCAACACATAGAAAGAAGACCCACCTACATCACGTGGCAGAAGGGAGGGAGGGAGGGAGGGAGGGGAGGGGAGGGGAAGGGAAGGGGCCAATGAAGACTGTTTGGGGAGATAATTATCAAAAATTCAAGTGGTCCATGTGGGAACCCAGCTCCTCTTATTCATGAATTATGGTGTATTGTTCATTAGGAGGAGAAGAGTCAGCCATTGGAAAAGGAGCTAAAAAGTCAAGTAGTGCCACTAGCTCTATGCCTGACAGTGGCGGTGTAGAACTGCAGGGCAGTCTAGTAAAAAAGATGGAGCTAGTTTCTTTTGATTTTTATTGAAATTAGTTGGATTTATTCAAAATTTTTATTTAGGAAGAAAGAAAAAACCTTCAAAAATTTTAATATTTTCCTGACTTCACCTTTACTCCCCCCTACTTTGAATTTTTTTAAGTTTAATTTTATTATTTGTGTCTGTGTGTGTGCATGCACGTGTGTGTGTGTGTTTGCATGTGCACAAATCCACAACACACGAAGATTTCAGCTCTCTGGAGTCACTTTTGTCTGTCTACCCTTCTATGGGTTTCAGGGATCAGACTCACATCATCACGCTTTACCCTCTAAACCATCGAATTGGCCTTTTTAAGTTTTCTGAGGTTTAATTAAGTAGTTCTGATTACATCTTCCTCCATTCGGTTTATTTCCTAAATGATTTATGTTTTTAAATATACAGCCCATAAATTAAAAGTAGACCATAATCTACCATTTTTTAAAAAGTTAAAATCTCTTTTCTTTGACTATTAGGCAAAGTATAAAGAAGTAAAAGCAAGAAATGGACAATTATTAAAAATGCTTCAGGAAGGAGAAAGTAAGTGAGTCACATGTTTTTAGGGGTTTTTTTTGTTTAGTTGTTTTGCCTGCATGTATGTATATATGTATTGTATGCATTGTAAACATGTCTGGTGCCCAAAGACACAAGAAGCGGAGGATGGTTTCCCTAGAATTGCCGTCACAACAGTTGTGAACCTCCATGTGGGTGCTGGAAGTTGAACCGGGGTTCTCCATAAGAGCAGCTGGTGCTCCCTTGTTTTGTTTGCTTCTTTGAGATGGGGTCTTTCTGTGCAGCTCTAGCTGATCTGAAGCTATGTAGACCAGACTGCATAGTCCTCTGCCTCTCATGCACTGCACTCAGCCTGGGTTAGAGGCGTGTGCACTGCACTCAGCCTTTGTGCAGTGTTTAGATTTAAAGGTAATCTTAATATCTGAAAACAAATAACCAAGTTCCATGTTTTATCAGCACACACACACACACACACACACACACACACACACACACACACAAAATTCCCCAGAGGGATACAAATTGGATAGTTTATTTTATTATTTCCACTGTAAGGCCTCTTAAAGCACCTGGCCACTATTCAGGTAAGAGTGCTTAGTTTCTAGTTCTTACACATTATTGCACCAAGCTGGGCATGGTGGAGCACACCTTTAATCCAGCACTCTGGAGGCAGGGGTGGGCAGATCTCTGACTTGTAGGCCAGCCAAGGCTGCACAGTGATGAGACTCCTCCCCTCAAAAAAAGAAATAAAATAAAATCTTGTTTTAAGATTAGCCAAGAAGCCAAGTATAATGGTTTGTGTCTGTAAGCTCAGCACCTTGGAGCCTGAGGCAAGAGCAGCTGAAGTCCAAGGGCCAGTCTGGGCTACAAAATAGAAGGATGGCTGAACAGGTAAAGCCGAGCTGCCAAACATCATAAACCTGAGTTGGATCCCTGAAACTTGTATGCTATGATGAAAGGATTGTGACAAGTTATCCTGACACGTGGACGTGGCAAGTGCACACACATACACACACACAAACAAAAACATGACCTAATAAATAGATAAATGCTCAAGATATTTCACTTTTCCTTATAATTTTTCAGTTTTCTTATATACCTGTCCTAGTTATTATAAATTGAAAAATTAATCATATCTATGCAGATGATATTTGAGAAAAATATAAATTACTTAAAAGAAAACACTGTTGCTGTAATAATGACCAGAATTACTAGTGAGAAATAAGACCAATCAGGCTCTAGAAGAACATCCATAGAGCAAAGAGGAGAAACTGGTGTTCTGACTGCTCTGTCCTGAAGTTCGTCTCTCCTCACTGAGTGGCTGGGATGGTGACGATGCTGTTTTCCTTTCCCCCAGTGAAAGATAAGGCAGAAATACTCCTGCAAGTCGATGAATCCCAAAGTATCAAGAATGAGCTGACGGTCCAGGTGAGCGGCTTTGGGAGATGTTGAATGCATTTTATACTATTCTGAGGTCTTATTGACCCCACAAAATAGAAATACTGCCTCTTTAGCAGGTGAGAAAGCAATGGAAAGTATTCATTATTATTGTGTACTAGCAAAGAAAGTTCCTGCTTATTGTATTAAAGATGGTAGGGGTGTCCTGGAGAGTTTGGAAGGTGAAGGTTGTGAGTTAGTGGACAGAACACCAGGAGCAGGCAGCGCTTACCCTGTTCCTGGAGTGGGTTTCTCTTCATGGCAAGCAGGCCCTCCTGTCTGTGCTCACTGCAGTGTCTCTGGGAACCATGGGAAGGGAGGGCATCTCTGATACTGACAACTGTCAGATTTTATCACACGAATATGTTCAGAATTAAGGTACTTTCCAAAAAAGGCAAAAAGAGTTTTCTCACTCATTATTTGGTTGTAGGTGACCTCACTTCACACTGCATTGGAACAAGAAAGATCTAAAGTGAAAGTATTACAGGCAGAATTAGCCAAATACCAGGTATGTTTTATAGTTTGAAAGTTTTCTTTATAGTTACATTTGGAGTAGATACAATGTAAGAATAAATGTGCTGTATTATTCTTAAGCAAGAATTTATTCACCAGATATTTAATGACTTTGTATAAAAAATATTTATCTGTGTTTATATGTATGAGTTTGCAGTGGGTGGGGCTGTGGAGGCCGGGGAGTATGCTGGATTCTCTGAAGCTAGAGTTAGAAACACTGTGAGCTTCCTGACCTGGGCTGGAACTGAACCCAGTCCTCAGAAGAGAAGCAAGCACTCTTGGCCACTAAGCCATCTCTCCAACCCTGTGTTAATGCTTCCATTATGGCCAGATAATGAACATTTTCAAAAATATAAAAGTAGCTGGGCCGTGGTGGCGCACGCCTTTAATCCCAGCACTCGGGAGGCAGAGGCAGGCGGATCTCTGTGAGTTCAAGACCAGCCTGGTCTACAAGAGCTAGTTCCAGGACAGGCTCCAAAGCCACAGAGAAACCCTGTCTCGAAAAACCAATATATATATATATATATATATATATATATATATATATATATGTAATTCTAGGTATTGTGTGTATGACAATAACTCAAGTGATTCAGTAGATGCATTAGAGCTGCGCAGACAATATGCAATGCTAACTAGGTGACAGGAAGGCACATTAGAGCTGTGCAGACATCACAACATCACACATTTGATGACTTGGATGTAGATTCTGCTCTTTTAACTGAAAAGTGTACAGATGGATTCTTTGACATTGTGTGACCTTTCACCCAGGGATTTTATATCCATTGATGTTATATGCATTCATTATTATTTTGATGACATTTTAGATTCTCAGCTTAAGAAGATAATTCAGCTCTTTTTTCCTGTGTGAAACAGTAGAGAGTAATCATCAGTACTTTCCTTTAATACTGTGTCAGGTGTGTTCTTACACAATGTTGGGGAATATTAGTTTAAGCTGTCTTTTGTTTATGCTGTGTTTGTTTAACTCTGTGAAGCTGTGTTACTGTGCCTTTCTAAAACACATGTAAATAAAGAGCTGAGCAGCCAGTAGCAAGGCAGGAGAGAGAAACAGGCGAGGCCGGCAGGCAGAGAGGATAGATATGAGGAGAAATCTGAGAGAAAGATATGAGGATCTGGGAATGAGAGAGGAGGGAGGAGGATTTCAGGGCCCAGCCACATAGTTACACAGCTACACAGCCAGACACAGAGTAAGAAGGAAAGGAAAGGTACACAGGAATAAGGAAAGATAAGAACCCTGAGGCAAAAGATAGATGGGATAATTAAGAAAAGCTGGCAAGAAACAAGCCAAGATGATAAGGCCAGGCATTCATAAGTGAGAATAAACTTTTGTGTGTCATTTATTTGGGAGCTGGGTGGTGGGCCCCCAAAACAGAAAAGAGTAAAAAATGAACAACTACAATGTACTTACACATATACATATAAATCATCAATGTGAAAACATGGTAAAAAAAAATAAAAAAGGTTTGAAAGTCACTGGTGGCATAGAGAATATAAAAATTACCTAATTTAGCCTGGCATGGTATGGTGACACACACCTTTAATCCCAGCACTTGGGAGGCAGAGGGAGGTATTTCTCTATGACTTCAAAGACAGCCTGATCATAATGAGATGTTGAAAGCAGTCCTTGCATGTCTTATTATGTGAGGTTTTGTGTTTTGGGTTTTTGAGACAGGGTTTTTCTGTGTAGCCTTGGCTGTCCTGGAACTCACTCTGTAGACCAGGCTGGCCTTCAACCCACAGAGATCCACTTGTGTTTGCCCTCTGAGTGCTAAAATTAAAGGTGTGTACCACCACTGCCTAGCTTGCTTGCTTATTTATTTATTTATTTATTTACTTATTTATTGTTTGATCTCATTGAAGTTTTCACACTGGCAGTATCACATACCCAATGGTGCTTATCCCAGCTGTGTTATTGAGAGACATGATATGTAGCATAAACTCTAATTGGTGTTAAAATAAAAACCCAGAATACGGGTTAATGCTGAAGATCAGAGAAGCAGAGCGGCCAGCCACTAGAGAGTTCTTTTACCTCTACCAGTGCTCAGATTAAAGGGCTGATCCTGTCCTCAGATTCCATCTGTCTCCATCAAATCTGTGATTGCAGTGAGTTTTTGTCTCCTCCCACGTTATATTCCTCTTTCCACCCAACCACATTTCCTGTCTCCACATCCCTAGTGCTGGGATTACCTTTGTGTGAGCTCTGTTTCTCTTTTAAACAGATTCAATCTCGTGTACTCACAGAGCTCCCTCTGTCTCTGCCCTCTGAGTCCTGGGATTACAGGTGTGAGCCACCACCACCTGGCCTCTAGTGGCTCAGCGCTGCACTCTGATCTTCAGGCAAGCTGTATTTGTTAAAGCACAAACAGAATATCACTACATTTCTCCTTTTTTGTCAAAAATAAAAGAAGGCTATAATAGAAGAAAAACTATATACAATAAGTACAATAACTATATACAATATATATAGTCTATGAATACATCAACAATGTCTAGTCCATTTGCAATTGACAAATTCTGGGAAAGTACTCCATTTTCTGCCCTAACTTGGTGAACCCAAAGTCTTATACCTAATTAGCTTTCTAGCCTAACTTGCATTACCATTCAAAACTATCTTGATATCTCTCAGTCTTACACTTTACACCTCTTTAGTGAGTTTCTTTTCTGCATCTAGTAAACGAGGAAAACTTTAACTGTCTAGTCTTCAACTCCCTCAGAGACCGAAAAAGGAAATAATATTAACTGAGTAAGCAGGAAGTGCAAACAAGTGACTTCCAAAAAATGTGAGCAATGACAAAAAGAGCTGGCTGCCTTGACAGTCACACAAGGTCGGGGCACACATATTCCGCTTACAGGCCTAGCATATCTGATGGACTTTTTTATGACGCAGTTTTTGAAGGACCAGCCTGCCTTGTCTTGACAAGGTTTGGCAGTCACTCTCTTCTGTGTCCTGCTTGTCCATTCAGCACCAGCATACCGTCAGCAGTTGATGGAAGAGCACTTTCTTCCCCAATGGCCTACTATTGCCACAAAGAAAGTAAACTCCATGTGGAGTTTCTTCAATGCCCATCAACTTCCCTGAAGATGCACCAATCTAGGTGCTGCCAGGAGTGGACATGTCTCATTGTCATAAAAAAAGAACCTATGTTCTTAAAACATCTTAAATGCCATATTCTGTAGATCTCTGAAGTGTTTGAAGGTGACGTATTTAAAATATATCTCTGTTTGACCTAATATGACTACAAGTCCGATTGTAATAGATGACTAATTACTAACCTGCATTTTCTTATTATGCTAAATAGTTGGTAATAATAATTTTCAAGAGCTAAAAATTTTCATTACATTGTTAAATGAGCTGTAGAGGTACAATGCTTTGAACAAGAGTAGAAATGAATATAGTGTTCTAACAAAATCTAAAATTTGTATCAATATACAATTTTTATATAATAAACAAAAATCCAATCAAATGTAAAATATTTAAAGCTAGTAGTTGCTTTTTTAGAAGTAAATTCAATAATCTACCTTTTTTATGTTATCTATACCCTCCCTTTTTTCTTTTTAGAATAGATTCAATAATCTTCCCTTTTATCCTATCATCTTTTTATCCCTGTTTTTCTTTTCAAAACAAGAACCCTGAATCTCATCTCCTTTGTTTAGCTTTTTTCCTGACCATTACCAATAACAGCTTGTAACCAATCCCCCTGAACAATAACAGATACCTATAAGCCAATGAAAGACCAAAAACCACCCACGCCTTCCTCTGGGGAATGTGGGCATCATGTTCTTAAATTTACTTCCTGCTGTCTGGGTCGATGGTATCCTGAGAAGAAAAATTTGGGTTAAATTGTCAGGTCCTAGAAGAGGTAGAGCTGTCATTTGTATCCAGGCTCTGCGCAGGGGGAAAGTAAGTGCAGGGCTTGTCTCCAGTCCTGGCTAGATGATCCATGAGGCTGGATCATCTCAGCTAGCCACTTTGAAATTGTTCTGAGCAGTTTGTAGTCCAAAGCCGATATTTAGGTAGTGTTTTTCAGCTTAGTGGGTGTTACCATGGTCCAGGTGAATCGTCATTGTGGGGCCCCTTCTCTTTTTGAGACTTCAAAAGCCTCTGTTAAGTGTGCTCATGGTTCACTGCAGAAAACGGATAGAGACTCATAGTCAAAATAATGTACAAAAAGTAGATGAATGCTTTTTCTAGAATTAGTACTCCATATGACCATTATTAGTTTACAAAAACCTCAAAATATATATATTAATCTTATAAAATTTTAGATAATATTTATACCTTAAAAAAAGCTGTTTAAGAGTCAAAATAAAACCAAAAGATTGTGAGATTAGTGGCAATATAATAGTCCCTAAATTTTGTTTTTTCTTCTGTCCTATATCAGGTGGCTCTTCTGACATGAGACAGAGATTTGGGGTTTTACTTTAATAAGCTTGCTTGGTTTATAGAAGGAGAGAGCCACCCTCCAACTCCAAAGTCAGCTTTAATCTGTAACTGGACTGGGACTACAAAAGACCGTTTGCATTACATGTCTGTAGAGAACAGCAGAAACAAACATTTGGGAAGATTTATGAAATTTTATCCTGTCGGAAATGTGATGTATCAATAAGCCAATTTACTCTTTTTCTTGGGACATCATTTTTTTCTGGATGTTTTGTCCTTTTTCTTTGGATGTCTCATTTGTCCAGTGGTCTTTGGATTCCTTAGCTGGATACCTTTATTCTCCTGAAAAGAAGAAACAAAACCCTTCCCCAACCCTAATTTTGGGAGGTTCTCTTTTGGCAAGTTATATATGATTCTTATTCCTAATTATTTCTTGTACCTGAATAAATAATGAAGTCAGTTCTGTATCCTCTGGTATAAATTCAGTAATTTCAATATGCAAAACAACTCTTTCTGCATATTGCAAATCAGTAACTTAAGAGGTTCCTTAAAATCCATTAATACCATGAGAATATCATATAATTCTTACTTTT